ATATAATGTTTCTGCTATCCAAGCAGTACATTGACATTCCATCCTACTGAGAAGATTAGAATTGGAAGGTGTGTTTCTTTACTGATTCTAATTAAATTGTACTTTCCAGAAGTGCATGATTTAGTCTGGAGTCCTTCCTAGAATGACTGGGGCTCATTCTTTGTTTCCATTATTAAATTATAGCGTAGTGTTCAGCTGTAGGTACATTAAGGATCTGGGCCATCAGAGTACTTGTGGGGTAGCTGAGGTTCCATGCATTACTTACTTACTTACTTATTTAGGCAATCCCTCATTGTCCGAGTAGGATTGTCTTCCAAGATGAGTGTACTGGTGGTGGCTACGTAGGTGACTGTGGAGCCCAATTCTTGTCCTGCATGCTCTCCCACAGTGAGGGCATTGGTTTCCAGGTGGTCCTGCTCTGGGTTGGCTTGACACTCCTTCCTTTTGGCACGTTTCTCTCTTTTGCCCTCCATTCATGCCTCTTCAAATTCTACAGCACTGCTGGTCACAGCTGACCTCCAGCTGGAGTGCTCAAGGGCCAGGGCTTCCCAGTTCTCTGTGTCTATGCCAGAGTTTTTAAGGTTGGCTTTGAGCCCATCTTTAAATCTCTTTTCCTGCCCAACAACATTCCATTTTCCATTCTTGAGTTCGGAGTAGAGCAACTGCTTTGGGAGACGGTGGTCGGGCATCCGGACAACATGGCCGGTCCAGCGGAGTTGATGGCGGAGGACCATCGCTTCAATGCTGGTTGAGCCCTGGTGGCGCAGTGGGTTAAACCCCTGTGCCAGCAGGACTGAAGACCGACAGGTCGCAGGTTCGAATCCGGGGAGAGGCGGATGAGCTCCCTCTATCAGCTCCAGCTCCTCATGCGGGGACATGAGAGAAGCCTCCCACAAGGATGATAAAAACATCAAATCATCCAGGGCGTCCCCTGGGCAACGTCCTTGCAGACGCCCAATTCTCTCACACCAGGAGTCACTCCTGACATGACCAAAAAAAAAAATATGCTGGTGGTTTTTGTTTCTTCTAACATGCTGACATTTGCCCGCCTGTCTTCCCAAGAGATTTCCAGGATTTTTCAGAGGCAACACTGATGGTATCGTTCTAGGAGTTGCATGGGACGTCTGTGGATAGTCCACGTTTCGCAGTCGTATAGCAGGTTTGGGAGAACAATAGCTTTATGAACAAGCACTTTGGTATCCCCGGTCCTCAAACACTCTGTGCTTCATTTGGAAAAATGCTGCACTCACAGACCTCAGGCAGTGTTGTATTTCAGTATCAGTGTTGACTTTTGTGGAGAGGTGGCTGCCAAGGTAGCGGAAAAGGTCAACATTTTCTGATGTTACATCATTGAGCTGTATTTCTGGCATTGCAGAGGGATTGGCTGGTGACTGCTGGAAGAGCACATTGGTTTTCTTGATGTTCAGTGACAGGACGAGCTTCTCGTATGTTTCTGCAAAGGTGTTTAGAGTGGCTTGTAGGTCTTCTTCTGAATGCGCACAGATGATGTTGTCATCAGCATATTGGAGTTCTATAACAGATGTTGTTGTAACCTTGGTTTTGGCTTTCAGTCTGCTGAAGTTAAATAGCTTGCCATCTGTCCAATAGATGATTTCCACTCTGGTGGGAAGCTTCTCATCAACAAGATGAAGTATCATAGCGATGAAGATGGAAAATAAGGTTGGGGCATATAGGTCCGTACATGTAGGTCTGGAATATGCATAATTCTTCCCATTTGGAGAAAAGGGTGGGGTAAAAGGGAAGCTGACTCTCACCCCAATTACCTGTATCTCAGCAGTCCTGTAGCACAATTTCAGATTTGTTTTGTTCTTGGATGGAAATGGGAATCACATGCTGGATGTTTTTGGCACTGTTCCTACTCTGCCACCCCCAGCTCCTCATCACAATACTAGCTCCATTAGTCCCATAGGGAGCCCCTGACATTCCACTAGAGATTTTCACAGAGGAGCAGACAGCGCATGGAATAGCTTCACCTGAACATTAGGAACTCAGGCCTATCTATAATTCCCATGTGATAAGGAAACAAGAGACTGTGCCTACCTCAACTTCATGAAGTACAGATCTATTTCTGTTCCTCCTTCCTTCACAGTTTTAAAATATGTTCTCCATTCCTGCAGTTCTCGGTTTGTTTTCCTCATATGGTCCATTCTGTTAGCCATAGAGTAGTAAATGACTCTATTTATTATTATTTACAGTATTTGAATACCGCTTTTCTCACCCCGAGGTGGACTCAAAGCGATCTTTGACACTGAAAGCTGATAGGTTGGCCTGGTTGGCTTACTGAAAATGAGGGCACATCAACAACTGTTTGGTCATATTCAACTGACACATGAGACATGTTGGATCCATGACAATTTTTTAAATTACCTGTGTGGATAAACTATATAAGTGTACCTTTACTGCTTATTTTGCTTCCATGTGGTTAGCTTGGGGACAATATACTTGCCTGTTACTTAGCATCTTTTCTAAGCCCCCTTTTGTTTCCAGAATCAGATTTTTAGAAAAATAACCAAAACAATTGGTCATCTGAAACACGCATATATATCACCCTGGGTAATAAAGCATGCAAGTTGTATGTAAAGTCTAGACTACATTACAGTTAAACTCTGCAAAGGATTTTCCTCTCTGCTGCTCGGAAATGTTTTGCGTCTGGAAAACCATGAGTCACAAAAGCCATTAATTGATTCCACTGAGGGGGGTTTAGAATTATTTTCCAGGAAGTATTTGGAACTGTTTGTTTGTTTAAGAAGATTCTGTCAATTTTTATTAGCAATGTGAAAATCTCAAAAATGGTCTCTTTTGTCATTTTATATGGTGAATTGTAATACTCAACACCTTCTTTTTCATCAAAGCCTATTTCTCCTGATCATTCTTCAGTTTCCTTTGAACATTTCTTGGAAAAAGACATGGCTGTTCTTGGGAATTATTTCCGCTGTCACCTCTCAAGTAGTTTGTGGTCTTTGAAAAAAAAAAAGGCACATGGCTCTTGATACACAGTTTCAGAATTAGCAGCATTTGGAAAGTAGTTTGGATAAATGGAAAACAGTAAATGATTAGATCAATAATAATATTTCAAATGTTTGTTTATGTGTGTGACTATTTACTTGTGCATCTGTAAACAAGAGGATTGGCAGATGAATTGCAAGGTGAAAGTGTATAATGTCAATTTGTTTACCAGGGGAATAATGTAAATAGGTTTTGAGTGTATTTTTATACTCTATGTTTATTTTGACCCATTAACATGTGTGCAATAGTAATTTTTAGACATTTATCTGTTTTCCTTTTGTCTGTTTGTTATTACTGTTGCTGTTTGGATACATAATAGTAATCCTGTGTTTTCAGGATGACCAATTCTTGATTATTTGTCTGTAGGAATGGTTTTGTGTAGAGAGTGGGTATGGTGTAGTAGTTTGAGCATTGGATTATAACTCTGGAGGCCAAGGTTCAAAATCTACTCACTCTTTAAACTCCTTAATAGATTCACTTTAGTTGCCATAAATTGAAACAACTTAAAGGCATGCAACAATGAATTTGTATCCAACATGGGATTAGCAACATAAGATCACAATCTCCCAAACTATGACCAAAGCTTACTCCAAAAATTTAAACAAAAACAACTTTGTCCTTTTGGAGTCATTTTTCTTGAATTTTCTCTTTTCAACGTACTTTTCTAGCTGTGGTTCTTTCTTGCATCTACATATTTTGGTATCTCAAGACAAAGTGCATACTGCATATGAGAGAACATGTTTCTTGTTGGTTATTCTCTTAGAATCCATACAAATGATCAAATTTTCCTCAAAACTCTTAGAATATTTGCAGTTTTTGAAAGGAAAATAGATTCAGGATGAGTGAATTTTTAGTATCAAAATCTGATCTGAAATGCCAGATGTACTTTAAGAACTTGGGAAATAATAAAGGATTCTTTGATTATGTGGAATATTTCTCAAAGTTCCGCACAAGATGAGCCAAGCTTAGTTCCTCACTTGTCCTTTCCCCATACTGGAAAGTTTGGGGTGGAACCATACCCTTTGGTAGCCATCTGCTTCATCAGAGGAGTTGGTTATACCCCACTACTCCAAACCAGTTTTCAATCCTGCCCTAAGTAAACACAGTACATACAAGTTTAGACAGAAGAGACTACAGACAGTGGGCTTTTGCCATGTAACTATACGTCTTCATATTCTTCTGCTTGTTTTCCCTCTTGTTCTTCTTCTTCTTTTTTTTTTTTTTTTTTTACAAACAAACACTATTATATATATGTTAGTCTTCTCATCACTGGAAGTATTCCTGTGATCACACYCAATGTTTTGTAAATGGCCACTATCAATAAAGTATCACTGTTTGTGCTTTCTGGTGTTTATTTTCCAATTGCCTTATTGTTTATAGTCTGTACCTCTCACAGCCTTTGAGTGTATCTACTTAATATAAGACTTCATGGATCTGATGAAAGTGGATTTTAGACCACAAAGGTTTATGCTATAAGTTTAAGTTCAATCATATATATATATATTCTGCAAGAGACTAATGACCTCATCACACCCACCAAATTCAGCATCTCCCACACCAACCATCACATGATGTAATGTGACTTCCAGTGGAGGTTGGAAGTTYAAGTGTCCTTGAACGCTTTCCTCACAACACGCGAGGCTTCCCGRGTTGAGGTGGCTCCAATGGAGCTGCACAGATCCTTCCCAGAAAAGCAATTCTTCTCACATATGATGGGGAAAGTGTTTCCAAGAGGGAACTGCGCACAGGGCAACAGATTCTTCCTGCTGCCCCTCCCCCCCCCCCAAAACACAACTACCACCCTAGAATACTCTCTTACTGCAATACAGGAGCAGACCATATGTTTAAAAATTGTATAGTTCAAAATTTGGGTTTTTATTTTATTGTCTAGTAAGTGTAGATATCAAAAGCTTTATTCTCACAATGCTCCCTAGTTCTGTCATTTCAATTAATCTTTTTTCTCTCCTTTATAGTTGATATTCGTGAAATCCAGGAGATTCGTCTAGGAAGAAACTCCAGAGATTTTGACCGCTATCAGGAAGATCCTTCTTTCCGTCCAGATCAGTCTCACTGTTTTGTCATCCTTTATGGCATGGAATTCAGACTGAAAACACTGAGTCTTCAAGGTGGGCTTCCTTCTCCTCTTCTATGTTCTCACTGGTTGTATAGCTCAGGTGGCATACTATCTTTATCCCATTCCTTTTGCAGCAGCATTCCTGTTCACAGCAGAGATGAGCAAGGGAGGAAGTGCTCTTGCTGGTTTACATGTGGACCTTTTTGGTCCACACCTCTCTAATTTCAGGCAAGCAGGCCCACAGTAATCTATCTGGACTTTGGATCCAGAGAGATCGGAATCCAAACTGGGGGACCAAAACAGAACTAAGGACACAGCAAGTCTCAAAAGGTCAGATAGACCAAATTCAGGCTATTGAAAGTCAAAGTCTTTAGATAATAGTGTCAAAGGCAAACAAAACACAATAGAACTCAACATTGGACTGACAGACAGTAAGATCAAAATATGATGCATTTCTTTTAGCATCTTGTGCATTTTCATCTCAAAGCTTCACTCATGTCCAGTTTAGTAGGTTAGAGGCTACAAGCAGAGAAGAACTAGTAGTATTCCCCCTAAATGTTATAGTTCCCTCCTGTCTTTTGTGATGCCAGCATTCTCAGGGTCTTGGAAGTGCCTTTGTCTTTACTGCTGAATTTGCAGCAGGTGAGTACACAGCCATCTTTCTTGAGGAACCAAGTTTTTTTCAGACCCTATACTGTGAAAGTCCTCCTGGTTCTTCTCTGGAAAGGATTGTTCTGATTCGAGCATGACACAGTTTTCTCTTCTGGATTATAATTTTAGTCCATCAAAGTACAGTCAGTCTTTAACATTTGCAGGTTTGACTTTTGCAGATTGAATTATTCATGGATTTGATGAAAATGTTCTCCCTTGGAACCTCTAGGTCCTCTGTGGTCAACTTTCTCCAGTTATGCTGGTTGACCCAGGTATTCCTTCTCTAGACATCTCTAGATCCTTCAGTGTGATTCTGTGGTCAGCTTTCAGCAGAAGTTGACCATAGCGCCATGCTAAAAGAACTAGAAATTCCTAGAGAGATGTTACAAGTTACTAGACCAATATCTTTTGATAGCCCTGTAGAATCTGACATGTTATGGTGCATCCAGACAGCCCCTTTAACACGGGCGTTCCCATAATTAAAAGGGGGTCGTCCAGATGACATCCCAGAGAAACACAAATTCATTTGCCACAAACCAGGAAAATCCTGGTTTGTGGCAAATGAATCTGTGTTTCTCTGGGATGTCATCTGGACATCTGCGAATTTAATTGTTAGTGGGTTTATTCCGCCCCTTCTTGGAAGGTTCCAGATAAGCCCACTACTTCTGCTGTCTGTACTACCTCCTCAAACGTTCTGGGCTTTTGAGGAGACAGTCTAGGCAGTAGACCTGCAGTTTTCTGGGTTAAATTAGCCCGAAAAACTAGGAGCACATCAACCCCATGCCCTAACCACCCCGACCATATCCATTTTAAAAATAAAACAACTTACCCGGTCTCCATTAGCGTGGTACCAGAGCTCTCCTGGTGCATAGGAATGACATACCAGGAGAAAGGGGAGGGGAAGGAGGAAAATCACTTCTGCCCCTCCACTTTCTCCTAGTGATTCATTCCCACATGCCAGGAGAGCTCCGACATTCTAATGGAGGCCAGGTAAGATCTTTAACTTTTAAAAGGGGCTTTGGGGAGGGGGGGTTGGGTTTCCAAGTGTTCTCCTGGAAGGTTCCGGGAGCGCATCTGGACACCCCCCCCCCCCAGAAAACATGTGCTTTCTGAGGCATGTGTAGATTAGGACCAAGGAACATTTATGTTTTTAAAACATGAATGTTCCAGGATTAAAGGGCTGTCTGGATGCACCCTAAGTTGGCAGGTCTATGTGCATTAATGCAAAAGTTTTCCAAGTTCTGCAAATCTACCACAAAAGAAGAATAGAGTGTATCTTCTTTGAATATTTAGAGCCAAATTTGTGACTCAGTCATGAGTGCCGAAATATCAGAATTATTCTTCATGAACTACTGTCCTTGTAGCACTTTGTTCTAGCTCATGTTTAGTGGAATTAGCTTCCTCCTGCTGGAAACCCACTGTGTATAGGGACTTCCTCCTTGGAAATAGGGGTCAGTGCCTGTGCTCATATCTTTACAAGTCCAGTTTGTCTTTTATTTTCACAGCCACATCCGAAGATGAAGTCAGCATGTGGATCAAAGGGCTCAACTGGCTTGTAGCGGATACCCTAAAAGCTGCTACCCCATTGCAGATTGAAAGGTAAAACAAAAATTGAGAGCAGGAAGTCAAAATCAGACAGGTGGGCATAGTCAGGTTTTTATTTCATCTCCTTTTTTGCCAACATCATCTTTTTATATATAGACAAAACACACTAAAAGAAAATTCACAGAGTCTGTTCACAAGTAAATCAATTTTATGCATAGTTACATAATTTTCAAGATTTTTATGCTTCTGAGAGTGATAGAGTTTGGAATGGATTGGCAAACTGCTTGCAAAAAGCACCTTATGGCACAGATGAATGAGTGGAAGAATGAGGTAAAGCAAAACATGAAGACAGCATTTATCATTCTATTCTTGTAGAGAGTATTCACTTTTGGCTCCTCTTTCAGTGCAATACTACGCATGTCTACTCAGATGTAAGTCCCACTGAGTTCAATGGGATCTACTCTCAGGTAAGCGTGTGTAGAATTGCAGCCTTGGTATATTTCTCCTTCAGCTTCACTTTTAAAATAGATCTTTCATTGTGTTCTTGCATTGATTTAAGTAAGTGATCAGATTGTTGGAGTCCAACATCTTTCAGAAACCTCCGCTTAGCTTATGTTGCAACATAACATCAGACACTGACCAAACACACTTGCTTAAGCTAAATATGTGTCTTTTTTAGTCTCAGTAACCTGAATAAAATATACATTTTGGTGAACTAGCTTGCAAATGTGGAACTTTCTTCCCAAAGTCTGGAAAGTCACTTTTTTTGGAATACATCTCCCAGAATTCCTAGAGCTCTGCTCCAAAAACAATAATCCTAACTTTCTCCTTCTTGTTGCTTGAGCTTCTTTTATTGTATGTTGTTGTGAGGGATGGGGAAAAAATGAGGGTTTAAGCAGAATCATAATTAATTTACTAATTGTCTAGAGTCAAAACTTGCACAATGCTAGGGGATCCTAAATGTGTTGTGGTGAGAGGGGGACATGTTGCCTTTCTTTTATTCAGTTATGCTCAGTTAATATGGTCCCAATAGATATGTATCTTATTTTTGTAGACTTGCGGTTAGCTTCCATTTTGAAAGGTTAGCAGAGCAATTTAGAGGGATCTAAATATCACAATCTGCTTGCTTCTAGGTGGCTTCGAAAACAGTTTTACTCCATTGATCGCAACAGGGAAGACAGGTAAATAAAGTGCAACTTTCTCTTGGTTACAGTCTGCTCACATTGATTGGAATACCTAGAGGGGCCTCCTGAAATCTTTGAAAATGGCAGTCAATACAATTTCTAGAATAACTGGAGCAATGGCAGATCTGCTGCATTGGAAAAGGGAAGATGCTTCCTTGAATATTTTGAAGAGGAAAGGTCTTTCCAGAACTTTAATGTGAATGGGAATAAAGCACTAGATATTTATTTAAAAAGCAACTAAAGATACATTTTATTGGTTAGTTGGATTAATTTATTCAAAATTTATTCAAAACTCTAAAGTTAATTTATTCAAAACTCAATTTTAAAAAATTGTGTCAGGAGCGAATTGAGAAACTGCAAGTTGTTTCTGGTATGAGAGAATTGGCCGTCTGCAAGGATGTTGCCCAGGGGATGCCCTGATGTTTTACCATCCTGTGGGAGGCTTCTCTCATGTCCCCACATGGGAAGCTGGAGCTGACAGATTTGAACCGCCGACCTTTTGGTCAGCAGTCCTCCTGGCACAAAAGTTTAACCCATTGCACCACCAGAGGTTCCTGGTGAACTTTGAACTGACTAAAATGTATCCCTGATTAATTAGGCAGCCAGTATCTCCTCCTCATATCCCACTTTTGGATGTGTAGATCTCATGAGACTATTGGAGCCTGTCTATTCAAGTGAAGTGTCAAAGACATCAGAGTTGTTCAGTCAAAACTGGAGGTGTGATTTCCTTTTTTTCTATAGAAAACTGAGAACAGTTTGAATGGGGACATGCACGTTTCTTCAGGTTTAGTCAGTGGTAAAAATATATTGCATGTTTTTGGACAGATTTAAAGACCTCTAAAATGTGGTGCTAGAGAAGAGTTTAGTGAATACCAGGACAGGTACAAAGACTAATTCACGGAAGGTGTAGTACTTTGGACATATTATGAGACAGCATAACTCACTGAAAAAGACGATAATGCTTGGTAAGGTAGAAAGAAGTAGGAAAAGAGGAAGACCGCATTATAGATCTGTAAACTCAATCAAGGATGTCATGGTCTTAGCGGGGCAATTGATAACTAGAGATCTTGGAGGTCTGTCATTCATAGCGTCATCTTGTTTGCAGTCGACATAATGACAAATAACAACAAACAAGGAAAACCTCTTTGAGCAGAAGTGATTGTAGGATGGTGTAGTCATCTTCTTGGAGGCTGCATTGGACTTAACAGAAACCACGAGGGCCACACCATTGCCTGAGTTGTTGCCCTAACATTCACCACTTTATTTCAGCAACAACCTTCCACTACTCAATGTGGTTTTCCCCACAGTACCTACCCTCACCATAGAACTCTACAGAATCATATTGCAAAATTTCGGAGTGCTACAATGATATATTGTGTGATGTGTGTCATATCTGATTTGTAGAACAGTCCAAGGCCCAGGAACCCTATTGTGTGTTAAGCCTGGCACCTGTTCTACTTGGTAATGGAGTTAAAACCTTTTGCCTCTCAGCTCCAAGCATATAAACAAAAGTCCCATTTCCTATGAACTGTGTTTCTAATGCCAAATGCTGCCTGGCTGTTTGGCTACTTACTTATGTCCTTTCTCCCATGCACAATTACTCTTCCTATTTCCTGTCCCAGCAGGAGACCTTGGCTTGATTTTTATTTGACTAGGAGCTGGTATGAGGCTGCCTACAACATCAGTGTGGCGTGGATAGAAAGTACGAACAACATCTGTGAAGACAAGGAGGGGTCGATTTTTTTGGATAATTTACATATTGATGAGCTTGTGCCATGATTTCGGGAGATGATTGATTGCCACCTGCTTTCTGAATACTCTGCTTAGAGGACTTGAAGACAGTGGCAATGCTTGCAAAGTAGAAAAATGCTGAGTGATCTCAATGGATATAATAAGCCAGCCAGGGGTTCCAAATGAGCCTTTGTTATCTACTCTTGTTTCTGTCTGTCTCTCTCTGAACACACACACACAGAGACAGATTTCCTGTTTCGGCCGTACACAGTCTGAGAGGGGAAGAAGCAACAATACAACTGACACACGTGTGTTTTTTTTTTTAATAAATCATAGTCTTTTTGTTACAAGAGAAAGAGATAGGTCGTTTTTTGTTTTGGCATTTTCTACATTGGAGGCACCGATTACCAAAGCAAAGCCTCCTGAAATCCGAATGGCAGTTATTTTCTATGTATGTATATAACTGTCTCTTTGTGCAAGTCAGTGAAATTTGACTGCCAAAATCGAATTTAGTTTGAATTCAGATGGGCAGATTTGAAGAACAGAATCAATGTCATCCGGCAACTATGATGTTTATGTGGGATGTGATGGTCAGAAGTGGCTATGCTTCTGTGGCAGCATTAGGGTGATTGTGTGAAAATGTGAACAGGGCTCCTTCAACTTTAATATTTGGGTGCAACTGGAAATACCAACATGTAGCGTTTATGTGATAGTTTACACCTGTTGAAATTCACTGTTGGTGGTGATTGTAGATCCTAATCTTCAGCCAAATTATTATTGGTTCCTTCAACATACTTACCACACCACACCCATACACAGGAGTCACACAGCACACTATGACCAGCTTCCTGTTAGTGGTGTATTAATTTGTATCTCTCTTTACATCTGAATATGTTATTTGGGGGGGGGGGGCACTGCAGTGGTTGATATTCTTTCCTTCCACTGAGCCCTGCCTTCACCCCACCTTACCTTTACTTGCCATACAACCTCTGAAGCCCCATCCTGAATGGCTTTTCCATGCTTCCCAGGAAGTGATCAGGATCGGAGAAGCATGTGGCTATCTCCCTGTAGCCAGGCATAAAATTACATAGCACTGAGACCTCAGAAGGATACCAGCAGATCTCAGCACTTTGACAACATAGCCAGACAGTTCTCCAGTCCTTCCCCCTGCACACAAGGCACAGAATAGCTGAGGCATTTATGTTTCAGAGGCTGTAAAGTAAGTTTGGGTGATTGTCTATATTTGAGCCTAGTGTGGGGTCTGCACATGGAACTATAACACTACACTGAGTCTCATACATGATTTCAGTCCACAAGTTGTTGGGTCCAGTGGCAGAAGTGGCACATTATATATGTGAATTGATTGGATCCATTTAATAATCGCTAGATGTAGAAGTAGCTGGATTTGTTTCCACATGCCTTCTTCTCTCAGTCCCCTTTCACCATCATTTTAGGGTATTTGATTTTGCCATCTTTGGGATTAAGATTTGCATGTGTGCTGTCATGGAACAAAAATTGTGTGAATATTTTCAAATGGAAATCATTACTCACACATTTCAAGTCCTTAGCAGGGTATTGGAAATTGCAGAAAACAACTAAATTGATAAAAAGGAGTCATGAAGGGGAGGGAAATGTAATAAATAAAAATGACAGCACCTTTAAGACTTTTTATTTTCACATGAGTTTTCATGAATATAAACCCACTTCAGATGCGGAAGATGCAGTACCAAATGGTATTAAGACCTCAGTGTAGCTATATACTTGTGAGATTGGAATAGGAATGTAATAGGATGCAGATAGGTGCAGATCCTGACCCTTGCCCTAACTTTTCAAAGGGCTGTATACAGTTATAATGGGACTCCCTCTGGTGTATAAACAATAGCAGTACAACCTTTTGTGCAGCAGTTTCACAGAGTAGTAGCTGTGTATAAGCAAGTACTCTTCATGCCTTGGTCTAGCAAGCAAACTTCAGGGAATGAATATCTTCTCCCACTTGTATCTTTCTTGTTTTTTAAATATCACAATGCAAGGTGGTAGTTCACCTTAGATGTTTAGATCTTTTGTCTTTGGAATGTTTATGAAAATATAATCTCATTGGTGGCACAACCTGAAACTCACTCTTCAACCCCCTCCCCCCCCCCAACTTCTGCATTGACATCATTGACTTGTAGAATCTAATGTACAGCTTTTTAAACCGTGGTTCCAGAACCCAAAATGAGGTCCCCTTAGTTCAGTGATAGGGTCATGAAAAATCTGGCAACAGTAAAATGTTTCTGAATGGAACCCATTTACACAAGTCTGTTAGCAACATTGTTCAGTGTCTACAGTGGACTGCAAAAAATGCTTCCATAGCACTCTATTTTTTTAAATACCTCTGTTTAGCAATTGTTATTTTGCAAATGCTGATTTATTTTCAGTAATTTCTAGTAAATGTCTGGTTTTTATACCTTATTTCATATACCTATATACCTTGGGTCATGTAAAAAATTTGCTGGCCAGAAAGGGGTTGTGAGTGGAAAAGGTTTAAGAAGCCCTGATCTAGTACACCAGCTTTTAAATTACTGGGTTCTTCTTTTTATTCCTAGTTACTATTCTTACTCCTTGCTTTCCTTTTTTATCTGTAATGTGAACTCTGCTATGATTCCACTTTAAATGCTATGCTAACATTTATGATAGCCTGGGTTTTCTAGTATATTGGGCACTTGTTGAGAATTCTAAATAGCTTTCCTATACTGTAAATTCCATAATTCAATCGGCTGTTAAAGTAGAATAATAGTGCTATAACGGTGTAGTGGGAAAAGACTCTTGGTGTTTCTGTTTAATGCCCAAAATCATGAGCCTTGGACAAATCTGTTGAATGTGGAACTCTTATTGGGTGTTTTTAACACTAGAGAAGAGAAGGGGGTGAGAAAGGGAGAGAGGTTTTTCTGTCCCCCTTCCTCTTTTCTCACCCACTGAGGTCTGGAAGTAATAAATTGGTAGTTACTGGGCTCCATTTCCTGACCTAATAACTGGAGCTAATTCTCAGGCAGCAAGGTTGTCTCTGTCTGTAATGTGCTTCTCTCTGGAGTTCAGTTGTGTATGAAATTTTTTTAACTGGATTAAGTCTTACACTTTCCTGTTCTGCTGTGATGGGATTTCTATAGTCCCTCTTCCTGGGGAGAGGAGGCCATAATTCTGGGATGCCAGAAGCACATGATTCCTTTGCCAGCAAATCATCACACGAAACTGATTTTCTTGGGTTTCCTCAGTCACCGTTTGACCGACAAATCATAGTGAATCATCAGGCATGGATTACTCCGCAGGCTTGCTCTTCACTTGAAAGGATCTCTTCATCGATCTCTGAAGACCATAAAATGTTAGAAATTTTATTTCTCTGTGCCAATTCAAATTCTCAGAATGATACAAACAAACTAAAAGAGTAATATATTAAAATGCTATCCATTCCATCTCCTGAGTGGTGGGTTAAACTGCTAAGCTGCAGAACTTGCTGGCTGGAAGGTCGACAGTTTGAATCCATTAATGTGGGAGAAACTATTCTGTTTTGATAATGGAACAAGAGATATGAAGAAAATGTTGTATGACAACTACAAAATCAGGGAAATTTGTAGTGTACATAGTGCATATAGGGCGCTGGGTAGTCCTGTATGACCTTCCTGTTGTCTTGTAAGAACAGGTGGTGCACCTTATAACACAGCTCTATAATTAAATCATAGAAAATAGCCTTCCTTTTAGAGAATGTTCACTGTAATTATTTTCTTGTTGGGGAAACTTTGATTTAACCCCAGAATTTTTTGCAACACAGTTCAGAAACTACAGGCTTGAGTTACTCAGGTAAACATTGAACAGCAGCCCCAGGCAGTTGTCACAGGGACATCTTTCCAAAAGCAAATGAACAGATTGTGGAAAAATAGCATGCCCCTTTCTTTTAAAAATGTTTCTTATATAGTTCAGGAAACATCTTATTACAGTGCACTAGCTCTCTTGCTCTCATTGTCTTTTCATCAATTATTTTTGCTTCTTAAAGAGTTCTAAAAGCTACCCAAGAAATGCTAGGAAGAATGCAAACAAATCTATTTGTCTGACGCGGTTCGTGGGGATGATCCTCTTTTGACATAATATTAGTAGTTATTGGGGAAAGAGTCATAGAAATACAATAGTGTAACTTTCAAATTAGAGGAATACAAAAAGCCTCTCTAAGCTTTTAAACTTTGGAAATACATCAAAACAACGACTTGTTCTGCTCTCTAAAGAACAGCTGGTGGGGTCTGGCTTCTATTTTTTCATTCACTGAATTGTCTTCTTGTGGGTTTTCTATGCATCTTTGCTCTAGAAGGGAGAGATAAATTAAAGGTAGTGTATCATCATCTGCTCTGCCTTAGGTATCAGAAACCCTTGATCTAGCCCTAGAGCTAGTTCTAGAGTTAGAAACTACACCAGTAACAGCAGTGCAAAGCTCTATCTATGAACACCTGGCAGTTCTAGCAATAATTTCTGGCCTGTGATTTCTGTAAGGCCATCTGTGTATGGCATTTGGAACATCTGGAGATTGGATCAGTATGCACTTTTGCTTCTCTTTAATAGTCCTGTGTTTTAAAGATACTGTAAGTAGGCTCAATAGTTGTTTAATAGGTATTTTATAAACATTCCAAATAAATAAATATATACCCCTCAATAATTTATTCCCCCTTTATTCTACCCTTGATGATCTAGGATTTCAGCAAAGGATCTGAAAAACATGCTGTCACAAGTCAACTACCGTGTCCCTAACATGAGGTTTTTACGTGAAAGGCTAACAGTAAGTCTTTGGTCTTTTTTCCTCCCCTTGAAACATGCATGCAGCTACTTCGCAATCATTGTCAAGAATTGCACTAAGAAATTATTATTATTAGTATTATTATTATTATTATTATTAGTATTATTATTATTATTTCTCATATTTCTAACCCGCCCTTCTCAACCCCCGAAGGAGGACTCAGGGCAGCTTATACCGGCAACAATTCGATACCACAAAATAATAAAATATAAACAAATATAACAACAGTTTAAAACAGTAAATAGAACATTAACTTAAAAACACATTAAAAACATTGTCATCAATCCATATAGCCAATTCCAATCCCATTCAACATCCAAAGTGTTGTATGCTTGCTGTCCAAAGGCCTGGTCCCAGAACCACGATTTAACCTTCTTTCTGAAAGAAAGGAGGGAAGATACTGACCTGGTCTCACTGGGGAGCGAGTTCCACAAGCATGGGGCCACCGCCAAGAAGGCCCTGCTCCTCGTCCCCGCCAAGCACACTTGCGAGGCTGACGGGACCGAAAGCAGGGCCTCCCCGGACAATCTTAAACTGCGAGATGGGGCATATTTCTTACATGCTTAAGTGAAAATGTTCATCCAGGATAGCTTAATCCAGGCTATTGATGTTTAATGTAGAATGACTTGATCTAGAAACATACAAAGTTGTTATCTAGTCCCACCACTGGATCCTTTAATGCAGAGGTTCCCAGATGTTTTGGTCTACAACTCCCAGAAATCCTAGCCAGTTTACCAGCTGTTAGGATTTCTGGGAGTTGAAGGTCAGAACTTCTGAGGATCCACAGGTTGAGAACCACTGCTTTAACAGCCAGGAATTTGACCATATTTCCTTCTGAACATGAAGTGTATACCCTGATATTGTGTGACCCCATTTGCAAATGTAGGCAAGCATGATTTAATAATACCACTCCCCCCCTCCCATTTATACTTTTAGGATGTGGAGCAAAGGAATGGGGATATCACATATGGGCAGTTTGCCCAGTTGTACCAGAGCCTCATGTACGATGCACAGAAAGGGGTGAGCTATGTCTTGTTTTAATATTTTATGATGTATATAATCATGACAGCAATGTTTTCTATTGCTGCCTTCCCTAATGCTTTACTTTTCTCTTGTCTGTGCCTTTTTCTATGTATACATATGGATTCAACGAAATTTATATAGCAAAAAATTAGTAAACTTCTGCCTTGATCAAGTAACAAAGTAGCGTGTGTGCAGTGCTCTTGAATTCCTGTCTCACAAGCAGTACTCAGAAACAGTTTCTGCATGTGTGATTCCCTCTACAGTCCAAGGACCTGGACCATAGGACCACCTGCAGAAACCATATTTGCCCCTTGGTTAACCAGTTAAAATTCATGAGTAAACCAGGTTTTTTTGGGGGGGGGATTAGAACCCTTAATCCCACCACCCCACCCCACCCCACCCCACCCCCGGGTATGGTCAGAGAAAATAAGAACGAAGAATATAATCCTGAGCAGATATCATCATTGCGACTAGAGGATTTTGCGCAGGATTGCGGCTTCTCCTTCCCACAGTTTTCACAGAAGGCTTCTCTCGATATATTTTACCAAGATATAGACTCCATAACCAAATCTAAACTTGACAAAAAACTGATTCCTAACCTTTTTGGTACAAATGTTGGAGGGTGGTCCATGTTCAAAGTGGTCCCTGATCAAAAAAAGGTTGGGAACCAGTGGTCTACATTATTTTATTTCTCTCATTTATGCAAAAAAAAAAAAGAAAGAAAGAAAGAAAGAAAAAGGAAATGGCAGGAACTGTCTAAAATACTGTTGAGGGCCATGGAACTATGTATTCTGAGCCTTGTATATTTTTATTGATGTGAAAAATGTCATCATGAGGATTGCAAGCAAGATAATTGGCTTTTGTTTTTCTTCCTTCTAATGCAGATGGCTGTTCCATTCTTAGAAAGGTAAATTTCTGGCTTTTGTGTCTTGGTAGGAAGGGTTGAGAGTTTGGGAAATTAAAATTGTTCTGCATTATAAAATATTGGTACTTGACATTGACTAAGGGCATATTGGGTATATCCACAAGTAGACTTTATTAAGGAGGTGTCAATATTTCTTTATTAGTAACATTGAAGTGAGGAGTAGGCAGAAGGGCTAAACCTGTCACATGGATAGTTGGAGCCTTCTTCCAGCCTTCCCCAGCTTCAAGTTGTGCTAGAAAACATCTAACTGTACCTAACCATCATAGATTTTGATTCAGAAAAGATTGCCTTAGTTATTCTCAACAATGCATCTGAACTCCGAACCTGTCTTCGGGGATTGGCTGGTTTTGTAATATGATGCCGTTCTGACCATCATTGTATCTTTGGTGTTCTTCCTGCAGCAATGGAGAGAGATCTGAACCTGGCAGAGTATCTCTGACAGAATTCCGGACATTTTTGCTAGAATATCAAATGGTGAGTTCATGTTATAGATAAGATGGCAGTGAAGGGAAGTATTCACTTTGGCAATGAATTATTTAGATGCCACTCCGATGTTATAGGATTTCTTAGGAAATGGAGGATTCTGTGTATTCTTGCTTTAGTGCTTGGAAATTATTAGGATTGTTCAGCTTGAGACCAATCAGGAAAACAGAAATAACACTGCTTTACAGTTCTGTTGTGCTGTGCTGATACTCAAGAAAAGAATTACAAGCCAATTTTAATTGTCATTTATTAGTAATACAAATTGAGTATCCCTTATCCAAAATACTTGAGACCAGAAATTTTCTGTATTTTGCATTATTTCAAATTTTGGGGCACTTGATTGTTGTAGAGGACACCTAAGAAAATTTATATTTTATATATGCCTTATACACATGACCTGAGAGTAATTTTATACAAAATGTTTTTAAAATAATTTTGCATATGAAATGTGTTTGTATACATTGAACCACACGAAAGTACACGTGCAACTATTTCAGCCACCCATGTAGTCAATCTTGGATTTTGGAGAATTTTGGATTTTGAAATTCCATCTAAGAGAAGCTCAACCTGTATAATGTTTTATTAATAGATGTTTTAACAGCTCCCTCCAAAAAAGTTAAAACCGGGCTTTTTGAGCAAGCATTCACAAATGCAGTGTAACAGACAAATCTAGATCTATGGAATGGCCGGACAATGCGATTGGATAATGATTCACTAATGAGATGCTGATGGTTTATGGTTTTATTGTTTTTGTATCGTTTTATATTTATGCTGAATGATTTAATTGTATTTTGTGCTATTGGGGGCATTGAATTGTGCCGACTGTAAACTGCCTTGAGTCACCTTCAGCCTGAGAAGGGCTGTATATAAATACGGTAAATAAGTAAATAAAATTGTCCTGCTTTTTGGAATAGGTTATGGCTAAAAATGAAAAATCTCATGCCTGTTGGCCTTGCATATTTGTTACTGAATTCTATTTATTGATTCTGCTTGTAGTACATACAATGACAAAGTTGGTTGATGGTGAGTGCAGTTTGTCTGAAGAGGTATGAAACTTAGGGATTGCTTTGGAAGCAACATTGGCCCTTGATAAGCAAGTAGTGTTGGTGGCAAAGGGGGCATTTTCCTGTCTAATCTGATGAGCTACTTATTTTTCCTTTTAGTCAAAATTGTGTGTGCATTGGTCAGTTCTAGAACTGACTGCTATCATTAGATCTGTCCTTAAATACCATTTTGGAATTGTAGTTGGTGTTGTTGTTGTTGTTGTTCATTCGTTCAGTTGTCTCCGACTCTTCGTGACCTAATGGACCAGCCCACGCCAGAGCTCCCTGTCAGCCGTCACCACCCCCAGCTCCTTCAAGGTCAGTCCAGTCACTTCAAGGATGCCATCCATCCATCTTGCGCTTGGTCGGCCCCTCTTCCTTTTGCCTTCTACTTTCCCCAGCATAATTGTCTTCTCTAGGCTTTGCTGTCTCCTCATGATGTGGCCAAAGTACTTCAACTTTGTCTCTAGTATCCTTCCCTCCAGTGAGTAGTTGGTGTAGAATGCCATAATTCATTGCTTGATGGGAGTGAGAGGGCAGGTTAATACTTAGCCAGTATTGCAGGTTTGCAGTAGTTGCAAGTATGTTATCTAGTTGGTTATATTTCAGTTTTTGTCCATTTCATAATACATTCAGAATAGCCTTAAATTTGACCTTTAAATGCTTTCCTCAGCCTAGAGCGTTTATGTATTTTATGAGTTCCTTCCCCTGTGAAGTTGATCAAGAAGTATAAGCTCAGACTTTTTATATTAGTGATGTTTCCTGAGCGTATGAGATATTCCCATTGTGGATATGACTCACTTTCACTTCCTCTTTTTTCTTACATGATTAATTGTATATAGTGCCAATTTTGGTCAACCTCTGCCAACATAAAACATGTTTTTAATTTTTCTGTTTACTAAACTGATTCCGGTCTTGTGGCCCCAGATGACTTGAAAACTGATTGCTTGAGGGATCCCTTGTCCCTTGATTATTAACCTGTGTAGAATTTGAGATCTTCAGAAATTGGTCTCTTGAGAACACCCACCCTTGAAAATCCATTTGGTGGGCACATTGAAGAGGAATTTTCTCCTGTTTCATTCTCAGATAGTGGAATGCATGCCCTTCAGAACAGTGATCAGTACCTACGCTTTGGTTTAGGAAGAATATCAAGATACCATCTGGTCTTATAAACTCTCTTATTATCACGATGATTTCAGTAGAGTTTATTCATTTATTTACTTCACTTGTATACCGCTTTGCTCATCCCAGGGGGTTTCCAACATATTTATGGCAAAATTTAATGCCTCACATATATATGAAACGTAACATAAAACAACAATAACATATAACTGTCAGTTAGATCATAAAAACATAACATTTGGACATTAAAATGTGATGTTAAAAAACATATTAATATAAACATTAAAACCACATAATCAAAAAATAGTAGTCCAGGCCATTCCAAATATCAAATATCAATTGCACATAATCCCTGATTGTTCCTTGTATTACTTATTGCCCAAAGGTTTGGTCCCATGACCAAGTTTTAACTTTTTTTTCTGAAGGCCAGGAGGGAGGGCACTGATCTAATTTCATTGGGTAGGGAGTTCCATAGTCAAGGAGCCACCACTGAGAAGGCCCATCTCTCGTCCCCACCAGTCACACCTGCAAGGATCGAGAACAGGACCTCCCTGGATGATCTTAACCTCCAAGATGGTTCATAGAGGGAGATATATTAGGAGTTGATTGTTAAAATTGTGTTTATTAGCCTGATAGCTTTGGAAAGGCAAAGTCTTGACAGTGGTGGTGGCAGCAGTGATTATTATGATAATGATGATGATGATAGAAAAAGGACAATGTCTGTAAGACCAGGGAGTTTTGGTTTTCTTATACAGCCTCCAGAGGTGGTAAAGTTCCATCTTAACTGGGAAAAGTGGAGCTGTGGGTGAGGGCTTGAAGAAGAATGTGGTTTTGTATAGCTGCTTGGACTTGATTTTGATCTGGATTAGAAGTTTTTAACTATTGGTGTGCATTTTTTAAAAACATAAATGTTGAACTGTTGTAAACTATCTCAGATAATAGAAACACTGGATGCAGATATTTAAATAAATTATTGTTATTATATTGCAGTTATTATTTATAACAGGACTCAATGCACCTAACATATTTAAAGCAGTGCAAGTTAAAAACAATACAAAGGTCACAATATAAGTATAAATAAAACTTTAAAAACAAAGACGTATGTTGTCGGTGAACATTCTGAAGTGTCATTACATTTGTTATGTTTTAACACATGAAATGTTAAAACATAACAAACTGTAGTTCTGTGCTATATTCTGTCAGACACTTGGATAGGTCTGATTTGGTAAGCTATTTGGATGGAAGACAGCCTGTGAATCACATGCAAGTCACTCTGACTTGGAGTTTCTTTTGGGCTCCCAAGTTCTCTAGCCAGCATTAGCTTCTTTCCCTCACTCAGCACCTGCTTGAGCATTAAGGAGATTTATTTTTGTTCTTAAAAATATCCTGACTCTTTTCTGAGTTCCCAAAAGAGATGGGTATGTGGGAAAGAAGGATACAGAGTAATAAATAAAAGCAGTATCATATTGCAAATAATAATAATAAAAAGCAAATGTCAAGGTTAAGATGACCATCCCTGTGGATAAACTGGAAATAATCTGACTTTAATCCCGCTGTCTGTCCATAACAATCCCAGGTGTGCCTTCTCATCTTGCAGGTTGCAGTAAGAAGATCATTATCAAATCCAGATGCCATTTTATTCTGCTGATACTAGGACACAAGGCCAAGGGGAGAGAGGCATATGCAAAGCAGTTTGAAATTTAGAAACATTAGTCATCCAGAAACAAAACAAAGACCTTGCCCCTTCTAATGGAAGTTCTGTCCCCACAGTGAAAATTTCCTTTGGTCTTCAAATTCCAAGCATTGCAGAGTAGGACACTGTTTGCTATCTTTGGAACAAAATACAGTTGGCCCACCGCAGTTGTGGGCTTGACTTTTGATTATTCATGAATTTAATTTAAAAATTCCCTGTAGAAATCTCTTGGTCAACTTCAACAGAAGTGTAACACAGAACTGCTGGAGAACCTAGAAATTCATAGAGAGATGTTTTCTCAGGTGAAAAATGGCACCTTACCTTATCGAATGTGGAGGCTCACTGTATTATGTGGCTTCTTTTAATTGCAGTTTAGGCCACTATCATTCATGATTTATTCTTAATATGAACTTGATGCCAATGCAAGAAAAGGAGCATTTGGTGGATTAAATTGGACAACACTTGTGAGAGGTATACAATGTGGAGGAGCCCTTCTTGGCTGTGGTGCATTGGATATCTTATAATTTTTTTACTTGCAGTTTCTGGAGTTCCCTGGCAATGCAGGATATTGTGGAAGTTGTGATTCCTCAAAATGATAAAATACCCAAGCTTTGGCTCCTCCCACAGAGAGATCAAAAGGTTTAGCCCCTGATTTTGGGAACTATGTTAAGATACATAGCTTGTTTGTGAACCTTTTAGATTTTACTGACCATCGCTTGGTTCTTCTTTATTGTTGCTGATTTTATACTGAATTATGGATTTTTGTTTTATAATTTTATTGTGTGTTTTATTTATTGGTTGCATTCTGTCCTGTAGTGTATTGATATACAGCAGTTTAGAAATATTGCAATAGATAAATACTAGGCCTGGGCGGTTTCGTTCGTTAATTTTGTAATTCGTTAAATATTCGTTATATTTAACAATTACAAAATGATTTCAAAATATATTTTCAAACCCGGAAGGGTTTTTCAATAATGAAACGGCATCCTCCATCCTTTTTACGAGCTTCCGCCCGTTTCGGAAATGGGATGGAGGATGCTGGGTACCCTGGGAGCCAATCCGGCGCTCCCAAGCACCCAAGCAGTGCACCGTGGCTGATTGTGATTGGGCGGGCAGCCCTTTAAAAGCGGCTCCGCGTGGCCGCATTGCTCATTGTTGCGAAGGCGAGGGAGAAGACGGGAGGTCCGGGAGGGCGGCTTGGATTGGCTTGGCTTGGTTGGCTTGGATTCATTCCTTGCATTGATTCATTTTTTGCTTTCATTTTTGCATTTCTTAATTCACATTGCTTCATTCATTCATTGTTGTTGGGAGAGCGAGGGCGGTTTTTGTTAATTTGTTAATTTTCCATTTTTAAATATTTTTGAAAAATACCTTTCTTTTATTCTTCAAAAAAATCAAAAAATATTCTAAAAAAAGAAAAGACCCTTGTGTGCCTGTGTGCTATCTTTTGTCCCTGTCCTGTGGCTGTTTGCTCCACAGCAGGGCGAGCATTTTGTTAATTTTCCATTTTTAAATATTTTTGAAAAATACCTTTCTTTTATTCTTCAAAAAAATCCAAAAATATTCTAAAAAAAGAAAAGACCCTTGTGTGCCTGTGTGCTATCTTTTGTCCCTGTCCTGTGGCTGTTTGCTCCACAGCAGGGCAAGCATTTTGTTAATTTTCCATTTTTAAATATTTTTGAAAAATACCTTTCTTTTATTCTTCAAAAAAATCCAAAAATATTCTAAAAAAAGAAAAGACCCTTGTGTGCCTGTGTGCTATCTTTTGTCCCTGTCCTGTGGCTGTTTGCTCCACAGCAGGGCGAGCATTTTGTTAATTTTCCATTTTTAAATATTTTTGAAAAATACCTTTCTTTTATTCTTCAAAAAAATCAAAAAATATTCTAAAAAAAGAAAAGACCCTTGTGTGGCTGTGTGATGCGTTTGTCATTTGTGTAGTTCCAACCAGTGCGCTCCTTTTGCCAACACAAAGTGCTACATACACTGCTCGCTCATCATTTGTGTAGTTCCAACCAGTGCGCTCCTTTTGCCAACACAAAGTGCTATAATACAGTGCTCTCTCATTTGTGTAGTTCCAACCAGTGCGCTCCTTTTGCCAACACAAAGTGCTATAATACAGTGCTCGCTCATTTGTGTAGTTCCAACCAGTGCGCTCCTTTTGCCAACACAAAGTGCTATAATACAGTGCTCGCTCATTATTTGTGTAGTTCCAACCAGTGCGCTCCTTTTGCCAACAGAAAGTGCTATAATACAGTGCTCGCTCATTATTTGTGTAGTTCCAACCAGTGCGCTCCTTTTGCCAACACAAAGTGCTACATAATTTCGTAAATGCTTTGCGCATGCGCTAACGCGGGCGCCATCTTAACGAATCGATTCGTTATTAACGTTTTACGAATAACGAAATTTCGTAAATGCTTTGCGCATGCGCTAACGCGGGCGCCATCTTAACGAATCGATTCGTTATTAGCTTGGCCACCAACAATAACGAAATTTCGTAAATGCTTTGCGCATGCGCCAACGCGGGTGCCATCTTAACGAATCGATTCGTAAATATTTACGAAATTTCATAAATACCGAACTTTTTTAAGGGAAAATTTTGTAATTATTTTAAATATCGAAACAAAAAAACCCCCCAAATACAAATCGATTTTAGAAACAAATTTTTCCGTTGTTACCCAGGCCTAATAAATACATTGTTTTCCTGAGATTACATTCATCTAAATAGCTGATACTATAGAAAAGCTCCTCAAACAGCATTCTTAGGGAAAGTAAAATTTCATGTTCTGTTTCATTGAAGGTGATGCACACAATTATACCCAATGAGAAATACATGCATATAGGTTTGCTGAATGGTTAGAGTTTGCAAAAGATTACTTGTTGGGACTACAACTCCATTGGACATTCTGATAAGACAGTGATTCTCAACCTCTGGGTCCCCAGGTGTTTTGGCCTACAACTCCCAGGAATCCCAGCCAGTTTACCAGCTGTTAGCATTTCTGCGAGTTGAAGGCCAAAACATCTGGGAGCCCACAGGTTGAGAACCATTGGTGTAGGAAATGATAACTTTTCTGTGCTATAGGGCTAGGACACTATTCTGTAAAGCGATTCTTAGTTCTATTATATATTCGTTGCAATTTCAATTATAATTTTTACAGCCTTCCTCCCAACTCTGTCTTCATCTAGATTGCCATCTTTTTTTAAAAAAATATACCCACATTTGCTGGCATATAGGGGCATCTTGGAAATGTTTTGCATGAACAGAGAATACAATCTTCTGCAACACCGTTGATAAAACTATGAGCTGGACAGCATCTGGTTGAAATATCACCTTGACCCGAAACCCTTTGGCAGCCTTTGATAATTCACTGTTTTTACATATTCACCACATTGATATTGTATGCATTCTTGAAGAAACGGAATACCTTAGGTTTTCCAATTTTAGTATCCTTGGCTAAAATATTGCCAAGTATAGGTGGTCAGATTTAATTGCTAAGAAGGAATTTGAACGAGGTCAGGGGCAATACCACATTTCTATTCTTAACTATCTCTGAAAAGTTATGATAAAAATTCCGCAGGGTTGTTGTAAGGATTGGTGAAATAATATTCATTTTAAAAAATAAATTAACATAATATTCCTAGAAGTATCTGGCTTCTGAATGTTCAGCTAACTTTCAGTTTCCTTGTTGCTTGCAGGAACTCTGGGCTACTAACCTTTCCTTGGTTCAAGATTTCATGTTCAACTTCCTGAAGGACCCGCTGAGGGAAATTGAAGAGCCTTATTTTTCCCTGGATGAGGTGAGACTCTCTAGAGTCTACTGAACAGAGTTGAAAGTGTGAAAGTATTATGGAGACAACTGGCCTGAGATGTTGAGTTCCAGGTTACTTCCTAGAAAATTTGTTGAGGATGGCAGCTCCAACATTTTGGAGATGAGTTATTCCTTTTTTTGACTGCTTCATTCTGTGTTTTTATTTTTGCTTTATGTTGCTGCTTTGTGGATCCTTGTGGGGTGAACAAGTGAGAGTTAGATAATATTATATTTTGGATTATATATCCTATCTTGAAGTTGCACTTTAAAGTGACATGAAAACATTTTCATTAAATTGAAACTAATAGACTTAAATATTTGAAACCTCTCTATTTTAACATTTTAATGCTTCTTGTGGTTCTGTTCCTTTCTCTTCTCTTTGGATAGTTTCTCACCTACCTGTTTTCCAAAGAGAATAGTATCTGGAACTCAGAGCTTAGTGGTGTACGTCCAGAGGATATGAACAACCCCCTCTCCCACTACTGGATTTCCTCTTCTCATAATACGTAAGTGAAAATTCAAAGGAGGACCTTTTGCTAACACTTCTGAGCACCCTTATTTGTATTCTGTTTCTGAGAGCATGGCTTGAATGTTGAGTTAGGGGCTCCTTTTGTCATTCACAGCTGTGGTCCATTAGTAGAGACAGATCAACAAGTGAACCAATAACTCAGGACTGAATTAAAACATCTATGAGAGATGCAAAATACAACTTATGACAGGTTTTAAATATCTTTTGTAATAACAGACACCAAAAGAGTTGACCCTAGTGGTCTACTTTAACTATATGGTTCTAATTGAACAAGTTGGATTGTGATGCTGCCAAAAAAAGGATTTAACCCAGCTACCATGCCATGACCCTGCTACCATACCCCAACCTCTGAAATATCCTGGTTGCAGATTTGGGAGAGAAGATTTAGATTAGATCCATGATGTGGGAAATAGTTCGGCTCCTGTGCCTTCTAGTATCTTGTCTTAGGTACTAGATGTTCTCCTTCCCACTCTAGTTGCAAGGTATCTTGGGTTTTTCTCTTTTACAGCAAACCATGCAGTCTCAGAGACTCCAGAGCACATGTTTCTCAACTGTGATTTGAAAGGAATATAATGTGTATAGATAATGTGTAAGGTGTTTATGATATCCTCTAATTCTCTAATTACTATTAGTAGTACTTCTTTTATTATTACCATCACTACCACTATTACAGGCTACATGTGGACCATCCTTCATACCAGAATATCAAAACACTTCCAAATCCAAAATTGTCTACATGGGTGGTTAGTTAATGACACCTTTGTTTTCTGATGGTTCCGTGTACACAAACTTAGTTTTGTGCACAAAATTATTTAAAATATTGTATAAAATATCTCCAGGCTATGTGTATAAGGTGTACATGAAACATAAATGAATTTCTTATTAAAATTTGGGTCCCATCTCTAAGATATCCCAAATATTTCTGGTCCCAAGCACGATGAATAAGGGATACTCAACTTGTATTATGGAATTCATATGCATTCTTTCCCCTGAATAGTATCCAAGCTAGCTGAACATTCTCCTAGCGAGGTGCACTAAATTGCTATTTTTGACTCCTGTAATAGTATAAACGTAACTTTGTTCAAAAACCTGAACTGTGTAGCAAGCATAAAAGATTTCTAGGAACTGCCAATTGAATTGGATCCATTGATTAGTGTATATCACCATGATTATGTGCATATTTATTGCTGCCTCTCTGTTCCTCATGTATGAGGGGTGTGTTGTGTGTGTAATTTTTCCCTCCTCTTCATGATAGGTACCTTACTGGAGATCAGTTCTCAAGTGAGTCCTCATTGGAAGCTTATGCTCGTTGCTTGCGCATGGGATGCCGCTGTATTGAGCGTGAGTTTCATCTTCTTCCTTCTCCCTATGCCAAAACTGAGAAACTGTCAATCTTATCTTCCATCTGGAAGTAATTTCACTTTAGGATGGAAGGAGGTCACATATTAGTTTTAGGGCATACATTACACATACAGAAAGCTCTGTATTCAGTGGCTGAAGCCTTCACCTCAGTGTGAAAGTACTTTGTCAAAATGTTTGCATAGCTGCTCCTAAAACATTGACTACACTTTCTGGGGAATCAATGTGATGCAGTGATTTGAGCGTATGACTCAGACTTTGGAAGATCAAGGTTTGAATCCCAGCTTGGCCATAGAAACCCAAGTCACATTCTTTCAGCCTCAAAGAAGGGCAATGACAACCCCCTCTTGTTCAAAAAAAAAGTCATAAGGTTGCTCCAAATTAGAAAAGACTTGAAGGCACATAGCAATGACAAGAAGTCTTTCCCAACCTGGTGTTCTCTTGATCTTTTGAGCCACCGCAATAATCTTTCAGTCCTTCATGGTAAATTGTCAGGAATAATGGGAGTTGCAGTTCAAATACCTATATGATACCAATTTGGAAAAGGGTGGGATATTGGGCTGGATGGGTCATACCACTCTGTAGGCCTAGGTGAGAGTTCGAAAACTTTTTGAAAAGGCTGTGAATCTTGATTCCATTAATTGTTGTTAATTTCTAATTTGAAATGGAAACTAATTTTTCAGTGGTGTGGTACTGGTAATATTATCACTGCAATCTATTCTAGTTATCTTTACAACACTGCTTTAATAAATTGGGGGTCGGGGTTTGAGAAAACGATTTTGGACTTAGACCAAATTTTTGTTTTATTAGGACAAATCCATATTATTTTTAATTTCAAAAATCCAGAAGTGGTTTACAGACTTGCATCATTAAATCTACAATATACAATAAATTCAAGTGAGAAACCAATAAAAACATTTTTAAACAGTGAACCAAGTAAGAAAATAAAATACAATAGGCATGTGGACAAGCAACTCTTTAGTGGATGGCACAAATATCCTAGTTCAGAATGTGGTCATTTACATAGGAAAGGCACCACAACAGAGAACATACTGTATATACTCAAGTATAAGCCTAGTTTTTCAGCCCTTTTTTTAGGCTGAGAAAGTCCCCCTTGGCTTATATTCAAGTGAAGTTATTCATTATTTTACATTGTTATTAATATTATTTTTATTACATTTACTAATTTACTCTATTATTACATTTATTATTTTACTCTTTATTATTATCATTACATGTAGTATTTTACTCTATTATTATTACATTATTTTACTCTTATTATTTTTATTACATTTATTATTTTACTCACTTTATTATTATTGGAAGGATATTTGCATTGTAGAAGGTTAGAATAATGGTTTAATCAGAGTTGAGCAGTCTTATCTTAAATTACAGTTTCATGTAAATATTCAAAAACATTTAACCTACTGATGCCTCAATTAATGTAATTTTATTGGTATCTATTTTTATTTTGAAATTTACCAGCAGCTGCTGCATTTCCCACCCTTGGCTTATACTTGAGTCAATATGTTTTCCCAGGTTTTTTGTGGTAAAATTAGGTGCCTCGGCTTATATTCAGGTCGGCTTGTACTCAAGTTTATACGGTAGTTCCAGCTCAATCAGCTTCCTGTGATTGCTTCTACGTTCCTTATTTACTGGTGACTTTCTAGATTTGTAGACATTGCATCTAAAACTTTAATGCCCTTTACTTGAGTATTGGCGAGCATCAGTTTAAAGGTTTAAAAATTCACTTTTTTTCCAGTTGATTGCTGGGATGGACCTGATGGGATGCCAGTCATTTATCATGGGCACACATTAACGACCAAAATCAAGTTTTCCGATGTTCTGGCTACCATCAAGGAACATGCCTTCGTAACCTCTGAGTAAGTGCAACAAATACTAAAACACACTTATTTTCAGATATAGATACCTTACTCTTCCTTTGATGTTTGAATTTTAAGGATCTGTTACATGTGACTGATCGATTGGTTTGAGGTAGCTGGACAAGAAGTATCGAAACTATGAGCAACAAAAGGAATTCTTACAACCAAGGACGTCTAGTACTCCTTATTTTTCCTTTATGACAACCATTTGCTGATTTTGTTCTCTTCTCAGCTACCCTGTTATCCTGTCCATTGAAGATCACTGCAGCATTGCACAGCAGAGGAATATGGCTCAAAACTTTAAGAAGGTCTTTGGAGACATGCTACTAACCAAGCCAGTCGATATATCTGCTGATGGGTTGCCATCTCCAAATCAGCTAAAGAGGAAGATTCTTATAAAGGCAAGACCCCTTTGCCACTTTTGGTTGTGGGATGATAGTTAGAACTTAAAAATGAAGGCCTGGTTCCAGTGATCATGCAAAGTTATTGATACTACATTTTTGACTCCTCTAATTTTACTGGAAGTTACTGTTGCATTCCAGGCCAGGAAAATACCTCTGTCCTTATCCACCACACTCCAGACCAAGTTAAATCAGCAAAGCAGTTTATTGAATATTATATAAAAAGCAGTTCAGCAAAAGTAGCAAAACTGAAAAGCCCAAAAATGGTCAAGGAAGTTCAAGGCACAAGAGTAATCAAGAATCCCAAAATAGTAGAACATCCACCATAGAAATACAAATGAAACCAGGAAATACAAGGCAGCATAGAATCCAATACAAGAATACAGGAACAATTAATCAAACTTGGAAGCAAGATACATGAACAAGAGCATGGAACTGTAATTCCCTTTGCAGGAGCTGTTTCCTCAAATATCAAAGTTGACCAGACTGCTGGACAAAACTCCTGACCTCTCTAATATACTCAAAAAATCCTATCTTTTCACATGTGATTCAGATATGTGCCCCTTTTAATAAGTGCCGTGACCTTCGTATTCTTTGTTGATCAGCCCGAAGTCTACTAAAACTAGGTCTCCTATCAACAAACTCATTATCATTATCTTGAAGCTCGTTATTCTCGGCACCTGGAGTTCAGCCTCTGAACTTATTTCTTTAGAGATCTGCTCTGCTGCATCCTCTGGAATGTGGCCTTGTCTAGATGGAGATACAGACTGTTCAGTTTCAGGACTTCAAATTTCAGGCCCAGAACCCTTATTCTCAAACCCAGAATCCCCATTAACAGTAATATCAGATACAACTATAGGCTGAACTACAACAGTTACTTAGAACAAGCTGGTCATTATAACTAAGCTACTAATAGTGAACTTGCTATAGACATCTTACCATCCCTATAATGCCCACAGATGTTCTCTATACATGCCCACTAATACAGTTTCCTTGCATATTAAATATTTAAGAGCTCAAGTATTTTATGTTATCTATATGTATCTACCTATATATATCCGTAAAGAGACAAAATAATACAGAGAATACAAAATCCCAATTACTATATTGCAAAGGAGCTAAAGAGGTTTGTTTGTTTTTTACTGACCTACTGAAGAAATGTCATAGTTTGCACATTGAATAGGCAGTTAACAAAACTTTAAACATTGTTAGGGTGATCTCTATAGTGCTCTCGTTTAGGTTATTCATAAATATGCACTCTACATTATTCAACATTTTGAGATTAGCAGTAGCGGTCTCTTACTTGTTCCACAATTTTGATAATTTTAGGCCTTCAGAATGCCTAAAGATGCGTTCTTTCATCTTAGCAAGACCTTCCAAATTCACCTGCAAATTTTCTGAAACCCAGATTTAACAAGGAAATATTCTGATAATATTTTAGAGTACCAAGTTGTTGTGTCCCTTGAAATACCATATAAAGTGTTGCTATTGAATTCCTTGTGGGTCCTTAAGGCAGGTGTTTTGGCTCCAACTTCAAGCCAAAGTGGTAGGGGATTATGGGAAATCAGATGTTAAGGGCATTAGAAATATCTTAGAGATGTTTCTCACTAATCTGGATCTTTTTCACAGAAACTAACTTCCTTATCTTTCATTACAGCACAAGAAATTGGCTGAAGGCAGTGCTTACGAGGAAGTGCCATCATCTGCTGTGTATTCAGAGAATGATATCAGCAACTCAATAAAGAATGGAATTCTCTATCTGGAAGACCCGATCAATCATGTGGGTCTTTTTGCAATGCTCCTTTATTGCAATTTCATGTATATAATCATGTTGACATGGTATAAATTCATTTTTGCCTTATCGCACAAAAAAGTCCCTCACTCTTCTCTTTTCACCTTCTTTGTGGACATGACAACTCAGACTCTCCTGTAATATTAAATTCTACTGGTTTGCATAGATAGAGATGGAGGCAGGAAAACCACCTGTTCATCTAAGGGGTGGGCAGTCTCTGGGACATTGAGAGCCACACACGTCCTGGCAGCACTCCTTCCTATGAATTCTTTTTTCAAAAATTATGTTTGGTTTAAAATACAACCATAAGGGCCCATAAGGGAATCAGCACACTTTTGTTACATGTTGCCTCTCCCCATCCCAAGTGGGATGTTTTAGACTTGGGGAGGTCTTTTTTAAAAGGGGACTAATCCAAAAGTCAGTTCTTTTGTCAAAAAGAATTTTTTTGCAACCCCTCATGCACCTTTTCCATTTCTGAATTAAATATATTGTGCCATTTGCAGGATAGTATAATAAGATTGTAGTGAAAGTGATGACAGAAATTGTTGTGTTAGTGGCTTTGGTGAAAGCATGTATGTTAAAAGAAGGTGGTATCCACCTAGATCAGATTAATTCTGCATTAAATGATCACTATGTCTTCCCATTGTAGTGGCTACAGAAAAAAAAGATTTTGTGTCCCAATAAGGGATGGTATTCCCATTTTATAAAAGAACACCATTTCAGCATTTTGAAAAATGTAGTGGTTTAATTTTCATTAAATACATACAGATGTAGATAAACACACACATATAGCTTTATACATTTTGGACTACAGCTCTCAAATGCTAGTAGGAGCTGCAGTTGAGCAAATAACTACCAAGCCGTGATATAAGTATGTGTGGACATTTGAAGATTGATTTGGAGGAAGTAAATATTCTAGAAGTTTGTCTTGAGGCCAATAGCTAGCAAAGGTGGGAGATATTTGAAGACCAAGGAGGCTTATAAATAGCTTACTCAGGTTTTATGAAGGATAATGTTCTTAGAGGCTCCATGGCATGTAAATATATTATCTCAGTGCCTCGAATACTTTTTGCTTCACTAGTTTTGCATGATTTAGGGCAGGAACTGAAAATCTTTTTAGCAGCATGTTTTCTTGCTAACAAGATCTTTTTGAAAGCTCTAAATAATTATCAGTCTTAGTACCGACATGCTCTTTTTCATGCCTACTTTTCCAGTTCCTTCCACTGCTGTCTCAACAACTGATCCATTACCACCTCAGTACAAGGCCCTCATTTATTTTTTAAAATTTAAACAATAATTTGGGTAGACAGGATTTGAAAACACTTTAGTCTTGAGAGGATTTTTCTAGGATAAACATGCAGTGTATTTTCTACAGGACTGGAACCCCCATTACTTTGTCTTGACCAGCAGCAAAATTTATTATTCTGAGGAGACAACCAATGATTTGGGAAATGAGGAGGAAGAAGAGCAAAAGGAGGTATGTAAAAAACAACAGCATCATTTTGTAAGAAGTACTGGCCATTTTCAGTTCTTCTCTGACACTGAAGAAAGGAAATCTGGAAGGAACCTCAAGGAATCTTGGTAACTTTCTCATATCAACAAGGAAGTTCTTATTATACAGTTCTCCTAAACTCATTGTTGAGCCTGGAACCTCAGGATTTGACGGTGATCAGGGGAGCATTTGCACAATTAGATCTTGTGCGCCAGCTGTGACCATGCCTTGAGAAACCAGACCTGGCTATGGTAGCCCATGATGTCATTAAATCTCGAATAGACTACTGAAACACACTCTATGTAGGGTTACCTTTGAAGACTGTTTTGAAGTTTCAAGGAGTTCAATGGGTGGTACCAAGGTTCTTACTGGAAAGGCGTACAGGGAGCATACAACCCCCTTGTTGCATCAGCTCCACTGGCTGCCAGTCTGCTACCAAGCAGAATTTAAAGTGCTGGCTTTAGCCTATAAATCCCAAAACAGTTCCGGTCCAGCTTACCTTTCCGAACGCATCTCCCTTTATGAGCCAATCAGAGCAACAAGATTAGCTGGGGAGGTCCTGCTCATAGTCTTGCCACCTTTGCAGGAGCAATTGGTGGGGATGAGAAACAGGGCCTTCTTGGTGGTAGTGGTCCCTCATATGTGGAACTTCTTCCCCAATGAGATTTGATTGGCCCCCTCCTGCCTGGGGTTTAGAAAACAACTTAAAACCTGGCTATTTGAACAAACATGTGGTGAGTGATAGTAATATTGAAGCAGTTAGATGATAATCTTGGTGCAATGTTTAAAATGTTTTATGTTTATGTTTTTGATGTTTTTATAGTTTTTGATGGTTTAATTTATAGTTAGATGTTACTGTTTTAGATATGTGGTGTATTGTTTTTATTATATGTGAGGCATTGAATTTTTGCCATTTATTATGATGTGTGCTACTTTGAGTCCCCCCAGTGGTGAGAAAAGTGGTATAAAAATGCAGTTAATAAATAATAATAAATAAGAAGGCATTTCTACAATTAGGTGGAACGTTTCAGGAGAAGAAATTCAGATTCCAGCTAGACTTCCCTATGAAGTATAATTGCAAATATCAGACTAGCATAATACAGTTAACAAAGTAATTTTCTTAGGCATTATTTCTTTAAACAGAAACTTTGGTACCAGAAGCAGAAATAATAGGGAAAGTGCATTGATAGGTTCCTACATCAAAAAAAAAAAAAGTAGAACAGCTTTACATGTTTTAGTAAATATTTATGACAGGATGCAATAGCTTCATTGTTTTGAATATTCTCCTATCATCTTGAATTCTGGGTTTGAGTACCTGGAATCAGTGATTTTAAAAAAACTGGGAGTAGAAAATTGAATATCCAGAGCAATGTCATTGATGCTATCCTTTCACAGAAAGTAAGTCATATACACCAGAAAACTAAGCTGGGGAGCTAACTGTATATTTTTATTATTTTTCTTGTTTCTGTGACAGGTTAATAACAGTACTGAATTGCACTCCACTGAGAAATGGTTCCATGGCAAACTAGGAGCAGGTCGGGATGGGCGCCACATAGCTGAAAGGCTGTTAACGGAGTACTGCATAGAGACAGGAGCACCTGATGGCTCTTTCTTGGTGCGAGAGAGTGAAACTTTTGTGGGCGATTACACACTTTCTTTTTGGTAAGAACTTTTATACTGTGTATTGCTTCCTCAGACAGCTCTGCAAATTGATCCATAACTGAATACAAGAGTTCAACAGGATGTTGAATGAATACATAAAATCACAGAGTAAATAAGTCTTGTTCTAACTTTCTTTGTCTGCAGGCGCAATGGGAAAGTGCAGCACTGCCGGATCCATTCACGACAGGATGCCGGGAGCCCCAAATTCTTCCTCACAGATAACCTGGTGTTCAATAGCCTCTATGACCTTATCACACATTACCAGCAGGTGCCTCTCAGGTGCAATGAATTTGAGATGAGGCTGACTGAGCCTGTGCCGCAGACCAACGCTCACGAGAGCAAGGAGTAAGCTGATGGGGAGGACAAGTCTAGTACTATGTTGTACTGCTACCTGCTTGAGGATGCTAAGAGAAGCATATGTTTCTAAAGATACATCTGTGCTGAGATCAATTTGTAATATTGTACCTTAGACATTGAACATTGAGTGGCAATTTCAGCCCTGTTACCACATTTCATAAGCCATGGGATGAAATCGTAGTTTAAAGCAGGGATGAACAGCAGTAAGAGTATGTCCCTCTTTCCAGGAAGACAAACGTACCCCCACCTCACTTCCCCTACAAGAAAAAAATATTTTTTGTCCCCAGGCCACATCAAAGGGACATGAGGAACCTTTTTGCCATGCTTTTAGACCCAGAAGATATATTTTTAACAACAGAAAGTTGTTTACTTCTGGTTTTAAAAAAGGCCTCTCCCAGGTCTAATATATCCCAGTGAGACAAAACTGTGGCAGAGAGAACCTGCATGCCCTCATCCCCCCTCCCTAAAATGTCCCCTATTTTGGTGTGTGTGGGGGGGGGAGAGAATTGACCCAGGGGGCACAGAATGGTCTGGGCAGTCACATTTGTCCTCTTGGCCACGCACTTCTGTGTCAACAGATCCTATGCAGTCAAGTTCTTCTTCCCCTTTTGTTGCATGAAAGAAATTTAGTCCTGTGTATCAGATATTGTATCAGCTACTTGGCATTCACTGATATCACAATACTTTTAAAAATTCCCAGATGGTATCATGCTAATCTTACCCGGACTTTGGCAGAGCGCATGCTGATGCGGGTGCCTCGGGATGGAGCATTCCTGGTGCGCAAGAGGAGTGAACAGAACTCCTATGCAATTTCCTTTCGGTGAGTGGATCAACTCCCCTGTGCACTAGATATAAGGGTGCACCAACTTTATTGTTATCAAATGATGGTATGGAAAATGTCCGTCCATCCGCTACAACTTTTTTTTATTGGTATTTTGATTCCAGGGCAGAAGGGAAGATCAAACACTGTCGTGTACAACAGGATGGACAAACAGTCATGCTGGGCAACTCAGAATTTGACAGCCTGGTAGATTTAATAAGTTACTATGAGAAGCACCCACTGTACCGCAAGATGAAGCTTAGGTATCCCATTAATGAAGAAACTTTAGAGAAGATTGGAACAGCGGTGAGTGTTGCATAAGGCATGGAATGAATGGAGTTCACTGCCTTCTTTCTGTTGTGTGGTGTTTCCACCTTAAGTGAGGTTGCAGCATCCTATGGCATCCTGGGTTTTGTAGTAGACTGAAGTACTGTAGCTCTTTGGCAAAGGATTCTAAATACTCATCTTCCTAAACTACAAAACCTATGATGTTTTCAATTGCAGTTAAGTGCACTCATGGTCCTAGAACCATGTTATTTATTAATTTATATCTTTCTGTCACTATAAGATCTCAGGGTGGCAAACAGATTAAACAATTCAAGCAGTTCTAGGTTGAAAATTCTGTTGAAGGCCAGGTCAGTAAATGGAAAAACAACTGCAATCCAGGACTTGATCCTGGATGCACATGCTGACCTGTTTGTATCACAGAGACCTGGCCTGATGAGACTGGGCAGAGGGAGGTGGGGGATAATATCTCTCAGCTCTGCCCACCAGGATTCTCTGTGCAGCAGCAGGCATGGCCTATGGGTGGGGCAGACACAGGTTCCCAGTTTGGGGGTTCTCCTGGACTAGGCATTGAACTAGAACCCAGGTATCAGTGGTGCGTCCATTCCTTGAAAAGCCAAATCTGGCCACGGTGGTACATGCCTTAGTTACACCCTGCCTGGATTATTGAAACATGCTGTACATGAATCTGCCTCTGAAGAGTGCTTGGAAACTTCAGCTGGTCCAAGGAGCTGCAGCCAGGTTGCTCACTGGAGCTGGCTACAAGGAGCAGACAACCTCTCTTTTGCAAAAGCTCCACTAGCTGCCAGTCTGTTTCCGGGCACAATTCAAAGTGCTGGTTATGACCTTTAAATAAAGCTCTAGATGCTTCAGGTCCAGGCTATTTGGATGACTGCACCCCGTTGTATGAACCTGCCCAGGCCCCGAGATCATCAGGAGAGGCCCTTCTCTCAGTCCCGCCTCCATCTCAAACTTGGTTGGTGGGAACGAGAGAGCAGGCCTTCTCAGTGGTTGCCTCTCAACTCTGGAACTCTCTGCCCAAAGAAGATAGAATGACCCTCTTCTCCACTGCCTTTCAGGCTGCAGGCTAAAACCTTTTTATTTAGACAGGCTTATAAAAATGAAGGTTCTTAAGATCAATTCAGAAGTTGCTGTGGTTTTTAACTATGAATTTGTTTTAATGATTTTTAACTGGGAATTTTTAAATACTGTTTATATTTATTTTTTTAAGGTTCGTATGTCTGTATATTTTAAATACTTATGCTGATGCTTTTCTGTTAAGCTGCTTTGAGTTCCCTTTGATGGAGAGAAAGCAGGGTATAATAATAATAATAATAATAATAATAATAATAATAATAATAATAATAATAAATTAAAATAAATAATAATGTATTTTTATTTATTTATCGTGTCATCCGCAACCAGAACATTGTATTACATTTCTAACAAGAAAACAAACAAACAGATAAAAAAAACAAAGCACAAATTTTGCAAACTTGGTAGCTGATTAAATGTCCTTTGACCAGTATCTGGCCACTTGGAGTGCATAATAATAATGTGAAAAGGCTGCAGGTGGGGGCTCCATACATCTCATGGACCATGTGTTCCTGGCTGCTGTTTTAAACATAGCACTGTAGAAAAAATACTTCAAAGTTAGAAAAATGTCCTATGTTTTCCCCCTAACTCAGACTATGCAGTGTTCATGCTTCTCTCTCTGCAGGGAAACAGGCATCAGTTCATGTTTTGTCTGTATCCTTTTTTGAGCTTGCCAGCTTTTCAAGCAGTGGGGTGGCTGTCTAATTGGCATTAACTGTATTTTATGTCCTGAGGTCTTTTCCAAAGAGACTAACAAGTCTGTACAAATAGATTTATATTTTTTCTGCTTCATTCACCAGGAACCAGATTATGGTGCGCTCTATGAAGGACGGAACCCAGGCTTTTATGTGGAAGCCAATCCTATGCCAACCTTCAAGGTATTTTCCTCCTTACTGTGTCCCTACTACAGTGATTACATGAATAGAGTGCTGAATTTGCAAACCAGGTAGTTGAGTCTTATGAGGCTCCTTTTAAGGAACATACGAGCACCGTAGTATATGTGTGCTCTGTGTTCTGACTGTCATGACAGATAACAACCTTGAGGATTGTGGCATTCCTTAGAAAAACTACATCTGTAACTCTGTAACTCTGTCCTCTACCACTCAAACCTTAACCTGAAACTCTTGAACAATATGGAATTGCATAGCACTATAATTGCATACTGTGTAAGAGCTCACAATAACAATAACACTTTATTCATATTCCGCCCTTCTCACCCTGAAGGGGACTCAGGGCAGATCACATTACACACACACGGCAAACATTCAATGCCACTTTGTATAGACAATACACAGACAGAACAGAACAGGAGGTGCCATTGAAGGTTGGGCTTGAGTCCAGGGGGTGCTGTTGCTCCATTCTCTATGAAGAAGAGCCGTCAGGACTTCCTCCTTCCTTTTGGTCACCCAGCATTCTCTGATCTTCCTTCTTTATGCATCGTAAAACACCTCCCCCCCCTTTTTTTAGTGGTACCTAATTTATCTAATCACAGCTAAAGCTGTTTTCGAATTGCTTAGGTAAACAATGAGCTAGGGCTGACAGTTGGCTGCTCATGCCAGCCCGGGGCTTCAAACTTGCAACCTTTTGTTGATAGATCTTATAATTGCTGATGATTTACCAGCTGTGCTAAACCTCCGGCCCTCACCAAACTAGCATGGGATTTGTAGTTTAGTGAGGGTTCAGAGCCTTCTTGCTGCACTTTCTAGATACTCTTCATTAAATTCCATATCTCAGGATTGCTTATGGTGGAACTATGTTAATGAAAGTGGAATTACAGTGCTATAATTGTATGAACAGCACCTTCACTAGATTTCCCAGGGGGTGATATTTGTGGAAGTTTTAAAGAGATGGAGACACATCTGTGAGTCTAAGCCCTTAGTTTCATATATGATTTAAAATGGTGATATTCTGGTGCTGAAAAAGCAAGTACGATTTTTTTAATGCAATCCAAAATGGCAAGACTGGTGCTTGGCAGAGGCAGAAGAAAGTCAAATTTGCCGTTCCAGATTCTGTTACGTTGTTTTCTTTGGAGTTCTGGCTTTGTTTTGTTAACTAAAGGCTTTAAATTTGATTTGAACACGGAGGCCTGATGTATCCTGCCGGATGCTGGTACACAGAGACTTTATTCACTAGAGGCACAGCAAGTGAACATGCCCCACTGCACATGCAGATCTCTGACTTGCTTATGCAATTGGTGAAGGAGAAATGCATCTCAGCAATAGAAGTCTCAAGGGAAGCAAGTTGCTTATCAGCCATTAGTTCGTTCTCTTCTTCTGTCATTTTTCTCCACTAGGATGTTACTTATCATAGATCCTTTAGGAAGTAATGTGCCCAATCATAGTATGAAATGCCATTGTTGGGTATTTCCCAGGCTCTGGAACTGCCAAACAGGTTAGTCTGGTCTTCCAGTCTTTCCTCAATAGGTGGAGATTATTTTTAAAATTCTAACATGCTTTGAAATGACTGTTTATAAGGAAAAGGGTTTTAATAGTCAGTAGTTAAAGTACATTTTAAGAATAAAATTTTGTATTTTTAACCTATATCTATTTTATTTGTATCAGTCTTCATTTCTAAGCTGTGTTGAGTCCCAGTTAATGCACAGAACTCTAATATAAATCAAATGAATAGTTTTTAATCTCATTTTGCCGGTTATACCCATCCCAGTTTTTATAGTAGTAACACAGGTTCTTTCTCCTTTCTATTTTGTTTTGTTTTATTTTAGTGTGCTGTCAAAGCCTTATTTGACTACAAGGCTCAACGAGAGGATGAGCTCACCTTCACCAAAAATGCTGTGATCCAGAATGTCGAAAAACAGGAGGGAGGCTGGTAAGCACCCTCAGTTCTTCAGTTGTTGCATTCTTTTTTCATTACCTATTTAAAAGATCTGCTGTAGATCATATCTTCAAACTGGTTGAAATAGTTTTCTGATTTCCCCAATTCTATAAGCCTCATTATTCAGTCTCCTTTGCTGTCTCTCCTGATTCTTGGAATTGTAAAAAAAAAAAAAAAAAGGTATAATTTTTCATTTCACGCTTTCCTTCCTTGTGACTATGCAGCTCTTTGGCAATGGTATATGTTTCCTAGCTCAATACTTGTAATATTAATACAACCCCCTTGTTGCATCAGCTCCACTGGCTGCTAGACTGCTACCGAGCAGAATTTAAAGTCCTGGCTTTAGCCTATAAATCCCTAAACAGTTCCGGTCCAGCTTACCTGTCCGAACGCATCTCCCTTTATGAGCCAGCTAGAACACTAAGATCTGCTAGGGAGGTCCTGATCTCGGTCCTGCTCTCGGTCCTGTCAGTGTCGCAGGTGCAATTGGTGGTGACAAGAGACAGGGCCTTCTTGGTGGTGGCCCCTTGGCTGTGGAACTCCCTCCCCATTGAGATTAGATTGGCCCTCTCTCTCCTAGCATTTAGGAAACAACTTAAGACCTATTTGTTCAAGAAGGCATTTGATGAATGACAGGAGTATGGAAATCTTAAGTAGTTAAAGATAACCTTGGGATCGATGTAAGACCTAAATGTTTTATGTTGTGTTTGTGATTGTTGTTTATTGTTTTATAGTTTTAATGGTTTTAATCCTTTGTTATATGTGGATACTTTGATACGTGATGGTTTTACCAGTAAGGCATTGAATTATACCAAGGATTAAGTTGTGAACCGCTTTGAGTCCTCCCAAGGGTGAGAAAAGTGATATATAAATACAATAAATAAATAAAGTTCAGATGAACAGAACCATTTTACCAAGAGACAAAGCAATTTGGTAATAGATACTGTTTTTCTATGAATGATAGGCTAGAAGTTTTTGTACCTTCTTCTCCATTCATTTGCATTAGAAGGCAAAATGCAATTCCTGTTCTTCTATTGATGTGTCCTGTCATGCATTTTATGAGCTGCTTAAAATAACCATTTTATATTTTGATGATAGAATTTCTGTTTTCTTGCTAATGATCATGTTGATTGTGTTTTGATATGTTGTATGTACAGCTTTGCATATGTGACTGTTTGTTTCTGCCAGGTGGAGAGGAGACTATGGGGGCAAGAAGCAGCTCTGGTTTCCATCTAACTACGTAGAAGAAATAACTAGCCCAACTGGCCTGGAGCCGGAGAGGGAGGTGAGCATTTGAGCATTCATTTTGGAAAGTGTGGGAATAAAGAGCCTCAAAACTTTAGTCTTCAGTTTGTGGAGAGACTCAGTATTTTAATGTTGAAGTAAGCTCCTTCAATTATCTAAGGGGTAACCTTCTCCCATATAACTTATCCATCTGTTAAAATCTCTCCTATAATATCTTGAATTGGACTTGGTTGTGATATGGGATAAGATATTCCTTCAGGAACCCGTTCTTGGAAGAGCCCTGCCTTGTCTACCCTCTGGTTGCCTTCTGGCACTGCCTTAAGACTTCGTTTGCATCATGCAGTTCACCTGTCAGGTTATTACATTTTTCATCTCTCTGGCAGGTTAATTTAATTTTGGAGGCTCTGACTCTTTAGTTTATTATAAATGATTACTGTTATTTCATTGGCTCTCTTCATATTGTAATGCCTGCCATGGATATTTGCTACAGCAAATAGAAATGACTTAAATTTAACAATCATAAACATTGTTAAGTTTAGTGGTATTGCAAGGAGGTGTTGATATATGATTTGACCCTGCATATACCAATACCGTGGGATCAAGTCACAGGGGCCTCATCACACTAGAGAAAAAATCCACTTAAAATCTGGTTTCTGCCTCCTGCAGAATACTGGGGTTTGTAGTTTAGGGAGGAGCTTTTAACAGCCTCACTAAACTACAAACCCCAGAATTCTTCAGAAGGCAGAAACCGGATTTTAAGTGGATTTTTTCTCTAGTGTGATGAAGTGGACAGAGTTAAAAATTCCTTTTTCACTTCTTCCTAGTGAGCAAAGAGCATAGATCATTTAAAGCCCAGTAAGGATTTTTTTTAATGCCAACAAGCTATGGTTTGCAGACCAAGAAGGTTTTGTATAAACAGAAGCACTTCATGGAACTGAGTTTGGGGTTTGCAGATTTGGAATTGTTGCATTGTGGCTGATCATTGAGAAGACATGCATAAAATTGATCAGTACTTGATTGGGAAAATATTTATATTGATAAGCCTGACATCTGGCTCCTATGAACCTTCCCAAATAGGAATTCTGGAACATGGCCATACAGCCCAAAAAATTCACAGCAACCCAGTGATTCCGGGTTGCTAGAATCCCAGTGATTCCGGGTTGCTGGTTGCTGGAATCACAGCAACCCAGTGATTCCGGCCATCAAAACAGAATACATTAATTCTGTTTTGAGTTGTAAAAAATTCTAAATTAAATCCAGTATTTTCTAATACTGTTTTTCATTAAGACTGGGTAAATCTAACTGTTACACAGATTCTGTATTTTAATTTATTAATGATAGTTTGTGTTTTGTTCCTTCAAGTCATTTCTGACTTAAGACAAACTTATTCCCTTTTTAAAAGCATAATGTGTTCAGAGGGAGTTATCTGTTGCCTTCCTTTGAGGCTGAGAGATTGTGACTAGTTCAAAGCTTGGCATAATAAAAAACTGTGGACATTTTTGTGATATTAAGTGACAAGGCATCATAAACCAATACTTCAATACATTGTAAATAAAATATTCACATTTGGTATGAGGGACTGTGAATGTTTTGACTGATTAGTGAAAGAGCTACACACTAGATACTGGCAAACAGGATCAGGGCTGTAAAAGATATTATAAAAAAAGCAGAGGAGCTGTGAGTAAAGCATGGAAAGATATTTTGCCATGTGTGTAATTTTACACAAGTTTAATTCAGAATGCATGATCTGTTACTGTCCATCCAGATAGTCTCTCAAGTGGTTTATACAGTGTAAAGAAACACTCTAATGTGCTGTATGTAAATTTGCTTGCAGCAACAGCTAGATGAAAACAGTCCCCTGGGAGACATGCTTGGCGGGGTCCTTGAAGTACCAGCCTGCCAGATTGGTAAGTAGGTAGAGAACCAACAAGATATGAACATTTTTTATTCCACCCACACGTGAGCTTGTGGGGTTTCCCGGTTAGTAATGATTAGAGATACAAGTTTGTTTTGCTGTGTTATGTTCCCATTTCAAATGCATCTTTGGCTTGTCAGCTCTGCTGGCAGTTAGATCCATGTGCAAATATTGGATTCGGGTGTTCTGTGGATCAGACTGTCGGGCAAGATCCATAAAACCGTAATTCACTGATAATATTCACACCAGAAAGTAACATCACTCTCCTCATTTTCTTTACAGCAATCCGTCCTGAAGGAAAAAACAACCGTATGTTTGTGTTCTCTATCAGTATGGCTTCTGGACCACGGTTGTCCCTGGATGTGGCTGCTAACTCACATGAGGAGTTGTTAGATTGGGTAAAGAAGATCCGAGAGGCAGCCCAAACTGCTGATGCTAGAGTAAGATACCCCTTTATAGAATCATAGAATTGGAAGAGACCACAAGAGCCATTTAGTTCATCCCCCTGACATGTAGGAACACTCAATAAAAGCACCCTCGACAGATGGTCATCCAGCCTCTACCTAAAAACCTCTAGAGAAGGAAACTCCTTGACACTCCAAGGCAGCATATTCTACTGCCGAACAGTTCTTACCATCAGGAAGCTTTCTCTTCCTCAGTGTTTCTCAAAGTCTGCTCCAGATGTGTTGGGCTTCAACTCCCAGAAATCCCAGCCAACTTACCAGCACTTAGGAATTGTGGGAGCTGAAGTACAAAACATCTGGAGGAACAGAGTTTTGAGTAAATAATCAAGAGTTGAGGAAACAAGGAGGAACCTATGATAATTGTTCTCTGATGAATGTATAAAGAGCTTAAATACTCTGTTCTCCTAAGATTTGGACTTGAAATGATAAACTGGTTACATAGAGTTAAATTGGAGTATATGTGTACTATAGCATTACGGTAGTTGGATGCCACTCAGACTCCATCCTAAGCAATCATGAAATTTTGCTATTTAGAATTCTCTCCTAGGAAGCTCTAGAGCTGTAATCCAGGTGCATGTTCAGCAGAAAACTCTAGCAGAAAATTCTGAATATGTAATCCCAGATTCTCTCTAATCTCAGAAGGAGTCATGAGGGTTTAAATGATATCAAAGGAATATAACTGCATAGTACATATACATTCACCATTTGAGACTTGTTTTGTGAACCTTTTCAGTATAAAACTATGGTTCAAAGTTAAGCCCGAAGGAGATAGTTTCTAAAATAGGACACTTTTAAAATTCCAAGAACATTTTTTCCCTCAGCAACTTAAATGTATATAACAATAGAGCCCTCAGCAGAGTCAACAACTACCAATAGGAATAGGAAGTAGAATGAGTTGAACTTCACATTTCTACTCCACCATTGTCCCACCTTTCTTATAATCAGTGGATTTTTCAGGTATAGGTGCCATATTTTGCACAATCCAAAATCACAGATGCGTTTGAATAAAATGGGCAAGGAAGGTAGCAAATCCTAGAGCATAACCTTGTCTATATTTTTAAAGCATGGAAGTGGCAAGTGGAAAAGGGGGTTACCCAGAGTAGGGAAACAATTTATTTTGATTTTTTTTTTGTAAACCAAGAATCCTACATCATCAAAACTATAAAAAAATACACAACTGGAATATATTTTGGTAACATGTTCATGGTAGTAGAGTCCCAAAATTCAGGTAGCATTTGGCAGCAATGCCAAATATTTATCCTATCAAGATAATCCAGCATGGGAAATGTGTGCACCTATACAACATGCACATCTTCACCATCCTAACTAGATTTGAATAAAAAGGCTGAGAGTAGTCCGTTTTTAAGTTCTGTCTTACAGGTTCAATAGCAGGCACAGAAGCCCAGACTGTTGTGTCTCTGCTGCAAAATAAGTTAAGTGCGATCTGTAAATGAAAACTGGCACCTGTAAATTCATTGTATAAATGAAACATTTCCTGCTGCTGTTTTTCCCAAACCACTTTCCTTCATGCGGTCTTTCCCATTTGGCATGGCACAGACACAGCTGGAAACCTCCGCTGGAATATAAATAGCTTCAGAGGAGGGAATGGAAAGATGGATTAAACATTCTGCCTGTCTGTCACTTCCTCCCTGTTGTTACTTCAAAGCAGAAAAGCAGTAGCCAGCATTCCTAGATTGTTTGTTGAAACAGATGAACAAAAACATGTGGGCTCTCAAAGACATTAGAAACTTCTGTTGTTACACATTTCTGATCCCTGAATTTTAGTTCTACAATCATGTTTGTGGCTGTATTGTGGTGTATTGCTTTATTGTGATATTTTGGGAGGTGGGAGATTGTGTTTTTAGTCCTTTCTGTGCCATGAATCTGACTGGGAGAATGTGAGCTGGTCAGTCTTTCTCAGTGTGACCTATCTCATAAGTTTGTAGAAGGGAGACAGGATATAAATGTAGCTAACATATAAATAATTACGATAATGTGGTTGTTTTCCCTCATCCCTTGGCAGCTCTCTGAAGGGAAGATGATGGAGAGGAGGAAGAAAATAGCTCTGGAACTTTCTGAACTAGTCATTTACTGCCGTCCCGTTCCCTTTGATGAAGAGAGTAAGTGCAGATTTCATCTAGCATATTGTTAACTCTGTGCAATAACATGTAGGGCCTAAGTATCCTAAAGGCACAGATCCTATCTGATCTTAGAAGATGAGCAGTCTTAGCTCTAGTTCAGTGGTTCTCAACCTGTGGGTCCCCAGGTGTTTTGGCCTACAACTCCCAGAAATCCCAGCCAGTTTACCAGCTGTTAGGTTTTCTGGGAGTAGAAGGCCAAAACATCTGGGGACCTACAGGTTGAGAACCACTGCTCTAGTTAGTATTGGATGGGAGACTGCCATCAAATACCAGATGCTGTAAACCAGTGGTTCTCAACCTGTGGGTCCCCAGATGTTTTAGTCTTCAACTTCCAGAAATCCTAACAGCTGGTAAACTGGCTGGGATTTCTGGGAGTTGTACGACAAAACACCTGGGAACCTACTGCTGTATTCTGTATTTCATAGGAAGAAACTGACAAACTGACTTTTTTCCTTGATTGAGAAAATCCTATGAAATCTACAAGGCACCAGAAGTCAAAAAGTGATATGAAGATATGAATGCTTGCACTGAAACATACACAAGCACATCCATTGACTTATTGTATGGCTAGATTTGGTTATCAAAGGAGATAGTATAGCCAGGCAAATTGAACCAGAAGGGTTAAGAGTTCTAAACTAGGCAAAATGTCATGGCTGATTACTAAAGCACTCAGCTGAAGATTACCATTATTTAAAAATGAGCAAAAAATACAAAAATGACCACAAGACATGTCAGAAATGTGTGGACATCATGAATATAGATGGAAGTGCTAATCCCAGCAACCTGATATTCAGGAACCCTTTTCAGGACTTTCTAATCTATCACTGAGATTTGAAGAGAAATCCACAGAATTGAAACATTAGGACTGAAACCTGTGGACATATTCCTGCCCTTTGTAGAATTGCACTCCTTCACATTTAAGTGAATAGGAGTAATTAGTATGTACAGTTTCATGTTGACTTTAAGATGTTAGAATTGTCCCTGGATGCCTAAAGTTACCGGACTAGTTACTCATTATTATCTTTTCTACAGAAGCAACAGGCTAGTCTTGGCTTTGTTGTGGGTGAATGTTTTTTCTCCAGACTATTCTCTGGCCCATATAATTGTCTGCCTCTTTTCTCCCATAGAAATTGGCACAGATAGGGCTTGTTACAGGGACATGTCCTCCTTCCCTGAAACCAAAGCAGAAAAATATGTCAACAAGATCAAAGGCAAGAGATTTCTGCAGTACAACCGGTTACAACTTTCCCGCATTTATCCAAAAGGACAGCGTCTTGACTCCTCCAACTATGACCCCCTTCCTATGTGGATCTGTGGTAGCCAGTTGGTGGCGCTCAACTTTCAGACACCAGGTGAAACCCATCTTTCCATGATAAAATCTTTATAGTATAATTCATTTTAATCTGCCTACAATTGGTACATAATTATTTGAAATCTGACAGCTCAAATGTCCAAATCTGAGAATTTTCAAATCTGAGAATGTTGCTGGTAATGCTAATAAGAAGAAAAAGTGTCTTCACAGGTTGAAAAAGTATATCTTGGTGCTAAAGTACACCTTGTTTTTGTTGTATGCCTTATAATGGCTTCTACCTTGTGGTGAATCTAAGGCAAACTTAACATGGGGTTTTCTTGGTAAGATTTATTCAGAGGAGGTTTGTCTTTGCCTTCCTCTGAGGTTGAGAGAGTGTGACATGCCCAAAGCCATCCTATGGATTCACAGAAATAATGTGTTAAGGGTTTTATGAACTGACCAACTAGTAAGGAACAGTTCAAAGGAAGTTCTGATTTGCGGTAAGCACCTAATTCAAACATAAATGCTGTTGTTCTGAATTGCATTATTAATAATCAGCTGGAACTGTCCTACTTCAAAATGCATCTTCTTCTTTTTTTAAAGACAAGCCAATGCAGATGAATCAGGCTCTGTTCATGTCTGGAGGCCGATGTGGCTTCGTGTTGCAACCAAGCAACATGCGGGATGACATCTTTGATCCTTTTGACAAGAACACTCTGCGGGGAATGGAGCCGCTTTCTGTTTCCATTGAGGTTTGTATTTATCTGAGTGCCTGCTTCAATGAAAGCTTGTCTTGGCTTTGTTGTGGGTGAATGTTTCTGTCACTCCCTCCAACTAGGAGCATCAAAAGATTGTCACATTACACTGTGGCAAGATGTCTGTAATGTGTTTTGGGGTATGAACAACTCTGTTTCACGTTATGGTGTGAATCCTTACAAATTTCAGATTGCCAAAAAGTTATATAGGAAACTGCATAGATGACTACATTTCTGAACTAATTTCTTCCCTGCTTGGATTTACATGCAGTCCCCAAGTTACAAATGTTGGACTTACAAATTACACATAGTTAAGAACAGGGATGAGACAACAGGAACAGAAAGAAATCTACCTCTCAGAAGAGAAATTCTTGAAATAGTTATTGTGGGGAGGTGTCTCCACTGAAACTTTATCATCAATCCTTGTTTCCACAACAACCCAGTTTTTTCAAAATCCAATTATCATAGGGATAGAAAGTGAAGAGGGGCACAGACAGCAGAACAAGCTCCACAGGGATTCCTTATTCTATTTTTTTTCATGTCAGGAGTGACTTGAGAAACTGCAAATCACTTCTGGTGAGAGAGAATTGGCCATCTGCAAGGTTGTTGCCCAGGGACACCTGGATGTTTTGATGTTTTACCATCCTTGTGGGAGGCTTCTCTCATGTCCCCACATGGGGAGCAAAGTGTGTGTGTGTGTATAAATGAACCAGTGCTTGGCTGCTGTGTCGGACTGGATGAGGGCTATCAAATTGAAATTGAATCCAGACAAGACAGAGATCCTCCTGGTGAGTCAAAAGGCCGAACAGGACATAGGGTTACAGCCTGTGTTGGATGGGGTTACACTCCCCCTGAAGACACAGGTTTGCAGTTTGGGAGAGATCCTGGACCCATCGCTGATCCTGGAGCCCCAGGTCTTGGCGGTGGCCAAGGGAGCTTTTGCACAGCTAAAGCTTATGCACCAACTGCACCCGTACCTTGGGAAGTCTGATATGGCCACGGTGGTCCACGTTCTGGTTACATCCCGAATAGATTACTGCAACAGACTCTATGTGGGGTTGCCTTTGAAGACTGTTCAGAAACTATAACTAGTCCAACGGGCGGCAGGCAGATTACTCACCGGAGCATCATACGGGGAGCACACCAGCCCCCTGTTATGTCAGCTCCACTGGCTGCCGGTCCACTTCCGAGCACAATTCAAAGTGCTGGTCTTGGCTTATAAAGCCCTATACGGTTCCGGCCCAGCTTACTTATCTGAACATATCTCCCTCTACACTCCACCCTGTAGCTTAAGATCTGTAGGGGAGGCCCTGCTATCGGTTCCACCGGCCTCGTAAACGCATCTGGTGGGGACGAGGGACAGGGCCTTCTCGGTGGTCATCCCCCACTTGTGGAATTCGCTATTCAGTGAGATTAGATCGGCATCCTCCCTCCTTTCCTTCAGGAAAAAAACAAAATAATGGTTCTGGAACCAGGCCTTTGGCTAATGGATGCAGCAGCACTTTGAACATGGAATTGGACATCTTGTTTGTAACTTGGAGACTGCCTTATACTAAACCATAATTTAGTGTTCTTGCAGGGGCAGAATTATAGAATTGGAATCCATTCCAAGGGTCCCCTACCAGATTCACAATAAATATCCATCCAGCTTCTGTTTAAAAACCTCCACAAAAGGAATTACTCAGATGTTGGTATTCATTTTCCATTACCCTTCATTATGTTTTCTGCATGTAGATTTCAAAGATGTTTACACGTACTGTGTATGAGATATATGGTATATATGCATTGTAGAATATTGAGATAATATTTAGTGAAAAAATGTTTTAATACTGCACACAACAGAAATCATTATCCTTTGCATACCTACACAGAAGTAAGTTTCACAGTGTTTACTATGGCTGACTCCAGGTAAGTGGATATAGGCTTTCTACCTAAGTGTACTTTTGGACACCATTAACAGCCTGGAAGAACAATCCAATTTGACCATGGTACCTTTCTTGCAATAATCAAAAGACTTGTAAATTAGGGCTTACTATCTGAATCGAGAACAGTTGATCAGGAACAGACACGTTTGCCTCTGATATGGCCAAGAGATATGTCCTGTTTAGCCATCACTCAGACATCACTTGGCTAATTTGCTATGTTTGGATAACTTACTACAACATTTGAACGTGAAAGAAAGCATTATGTAACAAAGGAGTAGTCTGACAGGAGCTACTTTGTGAAGAATTTAAAACACTCCTGATTCATTCCTCTATCATATAGCTGAGAATAACCTTCTCTCTTAGACCTTGGAGCTGCTGTCAAATAATGTACACTGCGCTAAAGCATATGAAACCATTGTATAGATTTTCATATGAATATTATAAAGTACTGAGTGAGCTAAAGTTGTGTTTTTACTCAAATTGCAGCATGTTGAATAGTAATTATATTGTCTTCATGAGGAATTGTACATTTTGGGACCAATTTGTTAAGTTAACTTTTAGAGATGGAAGCCAATCAGCACTACAACTTAGCCAGACTCTATCTGGAATATTTATTTTGTTAATTAATTTTCCATCTTTCTCTCAATATGAAAATGTTGAATGAGAGAAGACATCCACTGCAATTCTTGTGAGGAAACAATTCACTGAGGGAAAAATTTGGCAAAATATACTCTTCTGCCACCCACAGATTGTTTCCTCCACTCAGAAATTCCTTGTTTTGAACTTTGTGCTGTACTTGGCTAAGTTTTAAACCACAGCCCTTTACTGTAAGTTACAAAACCAGGAAGCAAGGGACAGAGTGATTTGTTGTGCCTCCTTTGATGCCTACAAGTTATCCCATAACTCAAGAATATAAAATAGAAATAAATTCTAGGCAGGGGCAATTTTGGCAATAGATAAAGGGAGATCAAATGGCTTTTTGTATCTATTTAGCAGAGGATGTAGTAATAGTTCAATTTTGTCTCTTTTGCTTGCCTTTGGTAGGTCCTTGGGGCTCGGCATTTGCCCAAAAATGGAAGAGGAATTGTTTGTCCATTTGTAGAGGTTGAGGTTGCTGGAACAGAGTATGATAATGCAAAGCAGAAGACTGAGATGGTGGGTGAGTACCTTGACCTATTATCCAGAATTTGGATGGGATGCAAAATGTGGCATTGTCATTTGTATCTTTCAGCTCAGGAAGGTCACATTGAAACATGCATGCCCAAATACATACACAGACAAACACATTTTATAAACTAATTTGTTTGTCATCTGATGGGTAGGTATTGATCATTACTCACTTCAATCCGACTTCTGCTACTTTTCTCAGGTATTCCAATGCTCATGTGTGAAGATAATGTTTGCAAAGGTACTTTTGCAAGCCTTAAATGTACAGTGGGATCTTTCAAGTGGAGGGTGTGTTTCCTATTCACAAAATTAATACAACAAATTCTAGGTAGAAAGAGTAACTGCTTTCTACTTTGAAGTTATGTGCGGCAGCTGCAGGGATAGGAACTGTGAATTGTTTGAACATGTAGTTGGAGGTATGAAATTAGTGAGATGCTATTCTTTTTGTGCCAAACAATTGATTAAATTTAATTCAGACTGAGGTTACACTGAGATTGTGTATAAATAACTTTCAGAACATAAAGTATCTTACATGTAGTAGAAAAGTAGTTAGATTTTGAAGTTAGTCATCGTAGTCATCTTTTGGACGTATTGCAGCCTCTCCCCATTCAATTAGAATATATATCCATTTGGCTTATATATGTTCACTTCCTCTTATGTTGGGAAACCTGTTCCTCACTTGCCCTCAGATTATGAACAACCCATAATGTAGTTTTCCATGTTAGCATACATTTGCATCTCGCATTCGTGGGTTTTGGGGAAAGTTGCTTTTTTCAGTAGAACTCCCAAAATCTCCCAGCCAACATGGACACCATTGATACCTAGCCAACATGGACACTGCTGGGAGATATTAGCAGCTATAGTTCCACTTCCCCAAAAAAAGAAGGGGGAAGAGGGGGGGTTGGGAGGAGGAAGAAGAAGAACAAAGAAGAAGAAGAATGGGAGGAGTAAGAGGAAACAAGAAAACCCAGCTTTGGTTGTAGTAGTCTTCCTTTACTTTCCAACCCAAGCCTTCATTGATTAAACCTTTCTTCTCAAATTGTGACTTGAGAAATGTTTGTTCTCATGTAAAATTTCAGTAAAGAAAGAATACTTTGTCTTGAAGCTAAATAGACTTGCATAATCAAGCCACCCTGCTTCCAATCCTCATCCCATCAATACCAAGAGTTGAGATCTTAAATTTGGAATATTAGTAGTGTATTTTTAGCATTAAATGAAAGAGGAGGATTGTTACAAGCTTGACATATTTGAAAAGGTTGCCCTGAAAGTCAGTTTTCAAAGCATTTTTCTACCAGTATTTAAAAAACCTCTAAAATCAGGACAGTAAATAAAGAGCAACAATCAAAAAATGGGGGAATTCCAAACAAGAATCAATCAGGGCCAGTTAACACCTCCCAACAAAGGATTCCCCAGACAGCAGTCAGCCAGGCTTTGAAGCTGCAAAGCCATTAAATGCTAATCAAGGTGGCAAATTGCAACATTCGCACTTGCCTCAAACAGACAAGAGGTTTTTTCCCCCACTCTGGACATTCCATAGATATATGAATCTAACTTGTCGGGTTTCCGACAGACACCTCAACCTCTGAGGATGCTTTCCATAGATGTGGGTGAAATGTCAGGAAAGAATGCTTCTAGAACATGGCCATATAGCCCGGAAAACTCACAGCAACCCAGTGGTTCCAGCCATGAAAGCCTTCCACAACACATTGTTCGATAACAAATTGCAAACAAAAGAATACAGAGGCATCTTAAGGTCTTGACTTTGACTTTTTTGCTGTTTAAATTAAAGTTTTTTGCTGTTTAAATTATCAACTGCTCTGTCTTATATTAAAAATGCAAATCAAATAATTATTTTTGTTTAATATAGTGGATAATGGCCTGAACCCTGCCTGGCCCCAGAAGTCGTTTCAGTTCCATATTCACAACCCAGAATTTGCCTTTCTGCGCTTCGTGGTATATGAAGAAGATATGTTCAGTGACCAGAATTTCTTAGCTCAGGCTACATTCCTGGTGAAAGGCCTAAAGACAGGTATGTATGGGACAGACCCTCCCTCCTCCTTCTTCCCTGAACATTGCACTGCAACAAATGTTTCCTATTTGATAAGAAACAAAAACATAATGACAGAATGCTAGGTCAAGTAGGGACATGGCATCTTAATGACCCCAAACCTCCTGCTTTTTGAATCTTTGTAAAATTCATAGAATTGTAGACTTAGATGGGGCCACAAGATTCATCTAGTACAACTTTGTATCACTTTAGTAATGAAGCACTAAAGCAATCCCTGAATGATGGGCATCCAAGTTATGTTTAAAAACCTCCACGTACCACCTTCCAGTGTTGTGCTTTTCATTATTGAACAGCTATTGCTGTCAGGAACTTCTTCCCAATGTTTTGACAGAATCTCCCTGACTTCATTGGTTTTGGGTCATTTCCTCCGATTAGTATGTTTTTTCAGGTGCTTTGGGAACTCTGTTTGGTTTCTTTTAGGATACCGTTCTGTGCCTTTGAAGAACAATTACAGTGAGGACCTGGAACTGGCTTCTTTGCTGGTTAAAATTGATATCATCCCTGGAAAAGTAAGTTTGATATCCTTGACAACTGTCTTGTCATGATTTCAAGATCAAGAGAAATCTGCATGGAATGAAATGAGAAGGTGGCGGGGGAGGGGGGGGAGTCTACTATGATCTTTGTAAAATTGTGTGAATCAGTTTGAAATTGACCATTGAAAGCTGAGATTGCAAAACCTTGAATGCACAGTTTTATGATATGAGGCTGTCTTTTAGAATTTTGTAAAATTAAATTATTGGAGGGTGGCATGAGCAACATGAGCAGTTCTCGATAAAAGGAGGTTAATTTAGGGCAGGGCTTTAGCACAGCTTGTAAATTACCAGTAATGATAAGATCTACCGATCAAAAGGTTGCCAGTTCAAAGCCTCAAGTCAGCATGAGCTCCTGACTGTCAGACCAGCTTACTGTTTACCTAAGCAGTTTGAAAACAGCTTGAGCTGTAAATAGAGAAATTCTCAACCTGTGGGTCTCCAGATGTTTTGGCCTTCAATTCCCAGAAATCCTAACAGCTGGCAAACTGGCTGAGATTTCTGCGAGTTGTAGGCCAAAACACCTGGGGACCCACAGGTTGAGAACTACTTCACTAAAACAAGTGGGGGAGATATTTTATGACACCATAAAGAAAATATATCAGAAAATGTTCAGCGATCAAAAGGAAGGAGGAAATCATGATGGCTCTTCATCATAGAGGGTGGAGCAACAGCACCCTCCTGTGGCTGGATTTGAGCACAACCTCCAAGGCGCCAGAAAGCTGGATGTCGACGCAACATACCTCTTTTCAATTCTTTCTGTCTCTTTCAACCCTCTTACAAGCTTTTGTACAGAATTTTAAATTATTCAAAACAAAATTGAATATTTGCTGTGTATGTATACAATTATCTGCCCTTTTTTCTGGCTCCTTGGAAGTTGTGCTCGAATTTTCTGTTGCCTGAGGCAGCTGCTTCACTCTGGATATTGTCAAGGAGGTATCCTTGGCTTGAAGAAAGTCAGTTCTTCTGTTTTCAATCCTGAAGCTGGAGAATGGTGAAGTTAGCCCCTTTGGGGCTTCAGCTTTCCGAGAGAGGTCCATGGATTCTCCAAGTCAGCTCATGGCCGGACGAGGCAGAGAAGGCTCCTTTGAGACCCGATATCAGCAGCCATTTGAAGACTTTCGATTATCACAGGAGCAGTTAGCAGACCACTTTGACAATCGAGACAGAAGGTACATTTCTTAAGATTTTGATTATCCAAGTACTCCAGGTCACAAATCAATATTGTACGAATAAGGATAGAATTAAATCATTTTGTTTTCCATTCCAGTCCTTTTGGAATACAGGTTGTAGGTAATATCTATATCTTGAGGAACTAAACATGCTGCACTAGAATCTTTGGAAGAGGTCCGATAAACACTAGGCAGCTAGAATACAATTTCTTATTCCGTTTTGGGGGGACAGTTAATTTTACTAGAACAACAACATTCTATTTGGTAGAGAATACTTACTCTTCCATTCTTCTTCCTCCAATAGCTGGTCAATTTTGTCAGAATGAGGAATAAGCCCCCCCCCCCCACACACACACACATCCATTTTGAGCCCCCTTGAGACTTAATGGTTAGTGTTTAGTGCAGCTGTAGTAAATGTTTCTGTGTCCATAAAATAAACTATATAGAGAGGGAGGGAGCAGTTCACTTTTAAAGGATATGTATAGTTCAGAAGGCAGGAACAGCAGCAACAAAATATGTCTACCTTATTTTCCTAAAATACTTTAGATCTCCTTACAGCCTTTGAAGCCTGCAGAACACCAGTTGACAGATGATGGGAACACAATGCTTCATTCAGTTGTAGGCTTTGTGTGAAGCAGGCTCTTATGGTGAATGGGTTTTGAGGAGCTTTGCCCTCCTCTGTCACTGAAGATAACAAAGCCATCATAGTTTCATAAAGAAAGCAATAGTATCAAAATAATGAATCAAATCTTAAATAGGGAAGACAACCCACTGACATATTGTACATCTTATAGCGTTTTCCCCTCCCACTGAAGTCCGCAGATGAAAAGACCATTTTGCTGTAATAGCTTGTATGTGACCATGGCAGTTATAGGCTAAAATCCTACATTGGCCTGGTTGAACATAATGCCCCAGCAGTTTATTTACACCCCATTTTCCCTTTACCACAATAATCATTTCCACCCCAAAGCACACCTCCAAAGCCAGTAAATGGCCATGTGTATATCCAGCCAATGTTTTGGAGCCAGGAGAAGAGAGAAGATTCCAACCAATATATTTCCAATATACTCCATTTCTACTCACTGCAGATCAGACATATTGTTCATTCTCCTAGTTACAGAATAATAGATTAATGCTACTTCGGTGTCCCATGTTTTCCTCTAATTATCTAGCGCAGTGGTTCCCAACCTTACGGACAAGAACTAAAATATGGTCTGCAACCTCAGTGTTACTATACCTTTGCAACAAGATCAAGTGGTCTTGTAAAACCAGTTGGCTTATTGAATATGGTTTTCTGTGGGCAAGCAGATGATAACTATTGGATGGTATATGTTCTGTATCAGAAACTAGAGCTGATGTGGTCTATCCAATGAAATTTTGTGAATCAGCACCCCAAATAACCAAAAAGAATCTAAAGTTGACCAAAAAGTGATTCGTAACCCTTTTGGTACTAATGTTGGAGTGTGCTGCCTGGTCAAAAAAAGGTTGGGAACCAGTGATCTAGGGGAATACACTGGCATGGAGAAGGTTAGTTGCACAGAAGGGGAGACATTGTGCAAGGAGGTACCCGAATACCTTCTTGCATAACAACCTAAAAAGCACATGCACAATCACAAAAGGATATATCACCAATTGCATATATTACAAACAGAACACATGATCTTCATGGAGGATGTGCAATTTACAGGCTGACTGTAGATTGGCACTGCATAAAATTCAACCATAATACAATGTAGCAATATTTTTGCTACTGGATTATGAATGTCATTTCCTAATTGGTTCTATCATAAAAACATGGGAAAAGTTTATTAAACTGCAAAAACTTTCTGTTGCCTGAGGCAGCTGCTTCACGAATTGAATAACCCTGAGGCACATTTTGCTATTGTTTTTCAATGAATACCTCATAGAGTCTCAACCAATTCAACATAGTTTGTGGCAGCCACAAAAACAAAGTTTCTGGAGTATAACAACTACTTTCAAAGTAAGCACCACACAATTAAACAGGAAACAATACTTTCAAGCCAGGAACAGATTTATTTTCAAATTTTGCTACATAGTGTTTAGTGTTGAACTTGGGATTTGAATCCTAGTTTTCCTGTCCCAACTTTACCAAAAAGGATAGAAGCATCTGCTATGGGTTGGCCTTTCTCATCTTTATTTCTCAGCCTATCTAGCCAACAAACTTGGCAAGAATCCAATAGAGCAGACTTTTTGCTCTCAGGCTACAAGGGTTTGGCATTGGTGCTTATTATGCTTCTTGAAGAGAAGAAATCCAGCACAGATTCCTACTCCGTAGTTGTGGAACAAATTCCCCAAGCACAGTTCCAACTGTAACTTGGCATTTTTGACTCTGTGGGACCACTAGTTTCTTTCCAACCTGTTTTTTTTATGATTCCCCGCAGGGCACTTCGAAAGACCCGGGTGAATGGAGATAACCGCCTCTAGCCCGCCCGTTGCCTGCTGTAAAGCACCCTCCAGTGCTTGTGATTCTCACGGATTGCTGTGAACTGGTTTCTATGGAAACGTCACTGCTTTGGCCTACTTTCAGGCAGCTTTTCCAGTTTTTCTTCTGAAGGCTGTTGGAGCGGAGAAATTTTTAAAAGAACCAAACTCCCAAACAGTGGTTTTATTGTCTGGATCATGACCTGCGAGAGAAATTTTAGAAAAAGACACAAGAAAAAAAAAAGACTCTCCACACTAAACCAGAAACAAAGAGTGCTGAATGTGTGTTATGTCTTGTCAATATCTGAGGTCAAACACAAATGCCTGTCATTAACTCCTTTCTTCCCCACGACTGTAGTTACTGAGAGGATATAATACCTCAGAGCTGCCTCGCGAAGCAGCTTTCCTTCACTCAGCTAAGAGGACCTGATTTTTTTAATTGTTATATTTGTTATTGTTGTTATTATTAAACCCCTTCATCACAACTTTGGCACAGAAAGTGAGGAGATTGTTCTTTTGGTATTAGAGCACAAGCTTGGTGAAACTTGCCAGGCCCGGTCTCAGTGGCCATCTTCAAGCTATGCAAGGCTTTCAAGTCCGTCTTCATAAAACAAAACAAAATTGTCAGTATTAAGTCAAGTTGTGGAATCCCTTGCTCTTGTATTCTTGGATGGAGCTTGCCTTGTTCAAAAGTACCGTCAAGCCACCTCCTTCCTTTTAGCAAAACCTTTCTTGGCCAAACTATATGAATCCTTTCCTCCCACTGTACAGAAGTGATGACTGAGATATTAAATGGACGGCGCGGGGAGAGGACTACCTGAGCCAAAGCCAGCTCTGCCTGAGGTAGAGCTCTTGCCACTGAAATCAGTTTTTGTCGTTATTATTGTACCCTTTGTGTTGAATTTCATCATGGTAATAATTCTAGGGGTATGTGCAGGACAGAAACAGCTTTGGGGGTCAGTATTTTTTTAAGAGAGAACCTTTTCCCAGCACAGGCTATCATTTCCAAGCTGTAAAAACTAAGAAGGCCCTGAGATTTCACTCATGTACTTCTTGTTTTGTGGAAGGAGACTTCTACTTGTGGTCAAACAGTATCACTTCTCTAAAGAAGCTTCTTGCCCATGTTTGTGGGGTCAGGACACTGGTAGAAAGGTGTCAACCTACAGTCATGTCATGTCTTGATACCACAGCAAGAGTGGAAGTTGTGTGTCTGCTGCTGTCCTTTGCCTGCCAGAGAAGTGACGCCATTCCATCAACTGGACTATTGAAGACTTCTATTTCAGTTACCAGGCAGAAGGAGAAGTAAATATGCTCCAGCCGCCAAAGGCAAGCTTCAATGTATGTGACAGTATTTACTATATATTGTTTGACTCTTAAGAGGAGCCTAGTCTTGGCCTGACTCCAGCAGCTGTATGGATTGTGTTCAGTTGGCTGGGATGCAACATACTGCACAATAAAGTCCTCATTTTTAGGAGGTCCTTCCTGTGTTTTGTTGGGAGTGGGTTGGGGCAGAAGTGGCGGCAAGGTGGGAGAAAGCCCTAGAGGCCAATTGTGTATGTTTATTGGGATCAGGATGTGGAAACTCTTCCTGTCAGAAAATAAAGTTTGAATATGCTGTAGGTCAGGGGTGGGCAGATGTGGCCCTATGGAAGTTTTTAGAATCCAACTGTCATATGCCAAGGACTTTGCTGCCTAAACTTGGCTCATGAGATATGTAGGCAAGAAAAAATGGGAGGAGTACCATTTCCCACCCCTCTCAACCATATTCACTTCTCAACCATATTCACTTCTCAATGAGCACACTGAAAAATTTAAAAATACACTAGAACTGTGTATTACTAACCTGTTTATGCAGCAAAGTGGGCAGGATAATTGCATCATTGTATGTATGGAATGAAACCAATTTGTTTTTTTAATTAAAAAGAATTAGGTTGAGAAGTGGGTTGCAAATTACTCAATTAATTTAGCTGGATGCCACTTTAGTTTCCCTTTGGGCCAATGTGTTGAGATCACAAAACTTGTTCCATACTATTTTTATTTTCTCTAGAGTTAAATATCAGATAAGTTTGGTTGAAATGCAAGCGGAAGCAGGACTAGGTTGCTTTGGTCAACTTTGAATTTAAAATTGCTCAAGGTTTCTTGCTAAGCCAGGAAGCAGCACAGACTGTTTCGTTGTGTGACTACATAGTAAAATTGTTATGTGTTGTGCAGGTAGCCACTGCCATTCCAAGCAGTCATCAATTTCATACATCTCAGGAAACCATCTATTTCCTCTAGTTTCCATTATAATTTGGGCTGTTAAATATTGCTTAGGCTCTTGGGGTCTTCGCCCATTGCAGTAATCAATTTCGTACACAGCCAGCTTAGATTTAGACTTGTTACTTCATCACACTAGAGAATGAATCCACTTTAAATCCAGTTTCTGCCTCCTGCAGAATTCTGGAACTTGTAGTTTAGTGAGGCTGTTAAATGCTCTTCCCTAAACTACAAACCCCACACTAGAGAATAAATCCACTTTAGATCCAGGCAGCAACTGGATCTAAAGTGGATTTATTCTTTAGTGTGATGAGGCTATCTGTTAAAGGTTTGAGAATCTGTCTGGATCAGTACTGAGAAAAGACTTTAATCTGTCAAGATAAACTTACTTTTCTTAGTAGAACCTCAAGAGCCACCAACTGGAACATACTGAAAAAATATATACACTTAGCATTAAGGGCTAACATCTACATTGTAATTACATATTCATAACTTAAATTCCAGGGAGCTGCTCTAAGTGATGGTCTGTTTTGCTAGTGACTCGGGCACAGCTTAATGACATTTCCAATTGCCACCCACTAGAAACAAAGGCTGTGATAACTAGAAACAGGGCCATTATCACAACTCTATTTCCCATCACTGATCACAGGCAGAAGGGGGTTGCATTATCCTACTGCATCCTGATCTCCAACAGAACAGACCTTCCCCATTGTTTGGTGCACCTGTTTGCTGTTAAGGGGTCTGGACAGGAAATGGTACTCCAGTTATGCATTTGTCCCTTAAGTGGGTGATTTAGAATCGGCCAAGAATTCTGAGGCCAGGAATTCAAAGTACAAGAAGTGAATGCAGTTTCTAGTCCTTCCAAACACAATAATCCACTCTTTTTAAAAAAAAATCCAATTCCTGCCCCTACTCAGCTTTCTTTATTCATTAGTATAATGAGGATTACTAAGGGAATGATTTGTTTCTGAGAGCCCATAGATCAAGAATTGCCAGTCCAGATTTGGCAGTGAGATACTATGATTCCTACAGAAGTCCTACAAAAGACATTATAGCTATGTTTTAACTATTTGAAAGAATGCAATACTGACGAGGGAACAGGCTTCTTTTATATGGTCCTGGAAACAAGGACTCAGAGCAATGGGTTCAAATTACATACACGAAAGGAGATTCCACATGAACATTAGGATGAACTTCCTGACCACATGAGTTGTTCAAGAGTGGAACTCTCTGCCTTGGAGTGTGGTGGAACCTCCTTCTTTGGAGGCTTGTAAACAGAGGATGGATGGCCATCTGTCCAGGGTGCTTTGATTGTACTTTTCATGCATGGTGGGGGTTGCACTAGATGTCCCCTGTGGTCTCTTCCAACTTTCTGATTCTCTGATATTATAATCAGAACTTGGCCTCCTGACTTTTGTAGACAACATTCCATGATGCACTCTTAACATGCAGCCAAAATACAAAATGGGTATCTGTTCTCTTTCAGATAATGCAGTTCCATTACAGTAGAGTTTTGCTTATCCAACCTTCGCTTATCCAACGTTCTGTATTATCCAGCACAATCTGCCTCCCGCCCAGATCCACAGTTGTTTCAATACATTGTGAAGTTTTGGTGTTAAATCCATAAATACAGTTGTTATTATATAACGTTACTGTGTATTGAACTGCTTTTTCTGTCGATTTGTTGTAAAACATGATGTTTTGGTGCTTAATTTGTAAAATCATAATGTAATTTGATGTTTAATAGGCTTTTCCTTAACTCCTCCTTATTATCCAACGTTTTTGCTTATCTAACGTTCTGCCAGCCTGTTTTATGTTGAATAAGCGAGATTCTACTGTATTTAGGTTCTAATATCACACTTCTCTTCCCTCCTCACCCATCTCACAAAAGAGTCAGTCACTGACCAATGTTTTGTTGTTTTTTTCATCACTGTTTATTTAGGAACAAACCGAAAAGGTCTCATTTCACAAAACTGTACAAGCAAGCTCTTCCCACCCTCTTAAGCCACATATACAAAATGAAGGGAAACTTGCAGTTCACTTCGCAGAAGTGGCATCACTTTGGGGAATAAAAGCAAGTGCTATCATACCAGGCAAGCACCAGTTGTCTCCAGCTGAAGGGAGAAACAGGCATTTACCCACACTGACAGCTTCAGCCTTTTCCTTTTCTAAAAGTTTTACCAAAAGTACAAAAAGAATCTGACACTGCCCCTCCCCCCGGTAGTTTGTAACTCACCCTATCAAGAAAACGAAAGGTACAAAACTAGAATGCTACCTTATCAGGCTTGGTGTACTTGCCCTCTGCTACCCTTCTAAAAAAAAGGTCCATTTGCTGTTACGCTACAATGAACTTGAGGTGAAATCAATGTTCTATAGTACAATGAAATATGTTATTTACAACAGCTTTGGGAAAATCAAAAGAGCTGAGCAATTTCTTTCACAAGACAATTTTACACAGGGTGAAGAAAAAGCAGAAAAAAGCCTTGATATATCCATCTTTCAAGAATTTTGAAGATAGTATCAGAGAGAAAAAATCTGAAAGGATTCGTAACTGAACTTCTTGTTTATCCAAGATACAAATTTATCTCTCAAGAAAATGTGGGGGTTTTAAAAATAAAGTCTGTAGGATCTCAACATTTAACATAGTAAGTGCAATAAATTGCTCTGTCACAGACTGCATGCTTAAGAAAAGCTCTGCCTTCCTTTCCAAAGCCATACAGCTGCTTATTTCAGAGGAATATGTCCTTCCTGGTCAGCATAAGCAGAAGACCTCTTTGCCACTGCAAACAATTCCTCAAATCAGTTGATGTCAAGGAGACGCCCTTGACTTTACTATGAAGGCCCCTATGGCTTCAATTAACAGCTAAGAGGCCTTATAAGCAAGGGTAGCAATAACCCAACCCTTTAGATGTTGGACTGCCAATTCCCAGGATTATTCATAATTGGTTATGCTGGCTATGGTTTCTGGTACTTGGGAGACAAACAAAGCAGGGCCATATTTTCAGTATTGGATCGCCCAGTGCAGTTTTCCTAACATTAAAGGGTAAAACAATGGGTGGACTTGATTCTCCAATCTCATGATGATAGACATTGATGCAGAGGATCTGTACCTATGATTGTTCCCATATTGTGGCTAAAATCCTAGAGTAGATTCTGCCAATTGTTGAATGGCGAATCAATATGTGTAAATCGCATTTATTAAAGGAGTACAGCAGCTAGCACTAGCAACAAAATTCAGGCCTACGTGTGCTACTTCAAAATTGTTCCTTTCTGACACATAAAAGAATCTATACACACACTAATCCAGTTCTTGAGAGGCTTTGTGCATTGGGGTCTCTTGTCAAATGAGAAGTCCTATAGTGCAAGATAACATAGCAGATGAGCTTTGATATATGGTTACGGGAATCAGACTTGAAACCAAGTTGCACAGAAAAAAAATTCTAACAGGCCAAGTATTTGCTCAGCTGTGATGGGTTTCTGCTATTTCTCCAGGGTTTTGTTTTGAAAGCCAGCTACTTGGGCCTTTCCATGGAAATGGTGGTGATTTAACCTAAGACCATTCATATGCAAAGGAGCTGTCCACTATATTATGGTCGGTTGCCCACACTGACCTCATCAGTTCAACAGAGACTGTGCAAGAAAATTCTCAGCAGCTTGTGAGGGCTGGGTCCTTTTGCAAAGGGAATAAAGGGATTCCTTTCCTAGCAGTGTTGATTTGGTCAGTGAGTCTTGGACCCACCAGCCTCATTATTAGGAGTTTTACAATGTGCGGTTTCAATTCTGAAGGGTGTTTAATTGGCTCTCATTTTTTCAAAAAACAAACAAACAAAACAAGATTAGCTGGGAAATAGAAACAGATGAAACTTAACATTTCAAGCATGACTAATAAATACCACATGAAGACGCTGTGTGCTTGCAGCTGAACACACTCCAAACACCATTTCTGATCCAATAACATTTTGCATTCTAGTTCAGAATTCCCCATTTTCACATACTTCATTTGCAGCAAATCTATTTATTTAGAAAATGGAAGCACTTTAGGAAGAGGTTAAAGTTTTAAATTTTGACACAACTCCAAGCTCTGTATGTGTGTGTATGCTGTGTCTTGCATCAACAACTCCAGATTCAGATACAGCCCTTAATGGCACTTGCTATAAAGCTGTGCCACCACATTAAAATGTATTTGATCAGACAGCCATATGGAGGGTCATTGCCATATCAAAGTAGCCTGTGAGCATTACCCGATCAAATAGCTTCGTGAATGCTTTGCAGGCCAGTAAGCAAGCCCTTGTTCTTGTTCATGTTCCCTCTCTCTCTCTCTCACACACACACACACACACACACATACACATACACACACACACGTGCACTAACCATAATCCTCTGGACTTCCAACGAGCCTGCCTCCCAACTGGTACATAATTTAAACTATTTTATATTACTGGGTTATATTACTGTATTTTATATTAATTTATAGTCAATAGAGTGCTGGCACTTGTGAATCAGAGCTAGTGTGATGCACCTGCAGTTGTCACCAACATGGTGCCCCTAAGATGTGTTTGCCTAAAACTCCCATGAGACCAAATCAGCACAGCAAGTAGTTCATCACTATGAGAATTGCAGGGCAAGACTTCTGGAGGACACTATGATGGGGAAGCTGGTGTAGTGGATGGAATGCTGACATTGGATTTAGGAGACAAATTCCAAATCAAGCTCATTGGTCAGAAGTGTGAACAAAACAATGTTGTTGGCATATAACTGAAAGGAAGACAACATATATAAACCACTCCAATGTAAGGAATATGGGTACAAATGTAATTGTGCACCTTTGAGTTCTTAGTGACGGCAACTATATGGTTAAGCTAAAATAGGGTTTTACTTGGCATTATTTATTCAAAGGAAATACGTAGACTGAGGGAGTATAACTTCTCCAAGTTTAACCACTGGGTTCTGGTGGCCAAGTGGGGATTCAAACCCTAAACTCCTGGTATCCAAGCTCAACAAAACCACTAAACTATGCTGGCTTCCCCAAAAAAGTAATGCAAGCTGATAAATATACAAATATACTGAAAACATAGTAATGCAAGCTTACAATTCTTACTCTAATATTTTCCCTCCTATCCTGAAATATGGGGCATATAATGCAGTTTGAAGAATTGGATAAATATTTCAAGATTTTTTTTAAAAAATAGCAGCTTATAAATAAAATACCCTTGATGCCCCAGTAAACCTTTCTCTAAGTGCTTTGTCTATCCACCTGCAATGTTACAGAGCCTAAAACTAATCAAGCAGTTGTATTTCAAACCAGTGTTCCAATATCCTGACGAGATGTTTTACCTCTGATTCTCAAAAGTATTTATTTTTCCAGCTTTAATGTAGAGTCCAGTGGGGATTTAGCACCATGTATCAAGGTATAACACCATTAACCTTAAGGGAATAGGGAAGCATAACTGACTCTCCAAACAAGGGCTGACTAGATTTGTTAAGCTACTTAAAACCGGAAAGCTGCTTTAGACCACCACTGAACAATCTAGTTGAGGATGTTCTGTGCTAAGGTGGCTGTTAGCAGCTCTATAGGATCCAAGGCAAAATATTTTTCCTATCTTATCATGAGATGCAAATACTGAACCCTTTACATGTCAAATATGAGTTGCTGCCACTGTGCAAATCCACTCCTTGATTCAAAGATTGATTGAACTGTGACTGAACTTCTTATTTGAACTGTGCAAATTGTGGTAATACTTCCTGTGACAATAAAGGCTTCTGTGAAACCCCCAAAATGAAAAATGATCAATATCTTTCCTTCAACTGCATATTTACAGTGTTGTTTTGTTTCAAAAGCTGTGCAATTTGCTAGATAGGATAATGCCTGCTTTAAACAAAAAGTGTCACATTCAAAGTCTAATTAAAGTACTATAAGCATTTACATTAGGCACAGGAAGTGAAGTGGTGCATGCACTGTTGCAGACCTATGACTAGTAGAACAACAAGTCCTCAAATGCATTTACTGCAATGAGCCTAAAGCTTCTGAACAATTCCTGATCAGCTCAAGAGATAGCTCTTTACTTCCATGGCAGCTTTTGCACAAAACAAGATCCCTCCTTCCTAGAAGTGAAGGGAGAATGATTGAGATGGGAGAAGACTGCACACATGCAGGTGTATCTCCAATTAAATTTATATGCTCCATAGTTGTTGGTTCAGAACTGACGCAGCAGCAGTCGATAGAATTTAGGCATTCAATTGACTTACATTACTTGAACACACCGCCAAATGAATTGGTTACATTTTTGGTATCTCTATACTTTCTTAGAAGCAGAATTAATATACAGTGTTTGAATGTTGAAGACAACAGAGTTATTCTGCCTATTTAAGACTATTATCTATTTTATCGTGATTTCCAAATTCAGACTCCAACACATTGATCTGTGTTCTTTTCCTTCTCAGTTGTGATAGGATTAAACTGCCCTGCCAAGCAACTCAAGGATTGCAATCCACCTACCCAATTTCAAACCTAAATCTCCTCCTAAAGTTGATCACTCTGATCTCAAACATGATTACATGTAATTTTCAACAGGTTGTGTGGCATTTTTAAGACTAACACACTTATAATAATACAAGCTTTCATGAGAGATATAATACATTTCCTCAGATGCCTGGTATGTCACAGGACTCGGTCATTTCCCTCCAACAAACTAACCACATTGCAGGAATTGAACCTTGAGTGGGCCTTACTTTCTGATATTAATGATATTAAAGATTTAAGTAATTCACACTGCTATCCTAGGCTAAACCTCAAGATAGCCATTTCAAATTTGCTGACAGTCTTCTTAAACATGCATAAGAAACATATTTTCTTCAAAGAGATGAAAAGCTTTTCATTTATAAACTAATCCATGAATGTATAACATAGGTGCTATGCATAAAATATCTGCTAATGTTGTACTGTAGATGTGTATATTTAAATCAAAACCTGTATGCATGTAAATACGTAAAACAGCAATGGCATAGCATTCCATTGATGTGATGGAAGCCACACTTTTTGTAGAATTCTCACTTCTCATCCATCCAACAGAAACAGCCCCACAAATTCATGGGGAGACTGGACCTCACATGACTTACCCACATTTATTCTCTGAAGGCATGGCTGTTTAATCTTTGGGTTAAACCTCCTAACATTAACAGTCACTGGGTCACAGCATAATACACCATAGGCAGAACTTGGGGTGGAAGTTACTTTATTTGCACTGCATCTCCCAGAACGTATCCCCAGTGAGTACTGTCATTTGTTGGACATTTCTGGAATAATACTTCAAAAAGATAGCTTTCCCAAGCAATGACCATTTGCAAGCCTTCATTGGTTTCTGTTTGTAGCAGCAATCTCAAGAGAGATCTTGCAAGGCAAGTATTTCTAAAAGTGCAGGTCACAAGCACCTTCAGTTGCTGGAATATCTCTCTCAATCTGAAGAGCAGGTTTAGATGATTCAAGCTGTGCAAGCCAGACAGAATTCTTTTCCACTTAAGTGCAAACAACTCACAGTGTAAAGCTCATGAGTCTCCTCTGAGAAAAGACTCACAAACTGCAGGTGCCAGATTCATATTTGTGGATTTATGTTACACACAACCCTAAAAATAAGAGACTTGAGAAGAACATCCAGAAAGCTCTAGAGCAGTGGTTCTCAACCTGGGGTCTCCAGATGTTTTTGGCCTTCAACTCCCAGAAATCCTAACAGCTGGTAAACTGACTGGGATTTCTGGGAGTTGTAGGCCAAAACACCTGGGAACCCACAGGTTGAGAACCAATGCTCTAGAGCTAATTTAGATGGAAACTAGCATGTCTTTCAGTTTGTCATCAAAGAGGTTATAAAAACCACCTTTATATAACAAAAATAGGATAATAATCTTAAGTATGAGCACAGAAGGTGGGTTGATATTTAGCTCCATCTTTGGAATAGATCCTGCAGGATGTTCTAAGAAACAGCAAGAATCTGAAGATGTATTGTTGAAGGCTTTCATGGCTGGAATCACTGGGTTGTTGTAGGTTTTTCGGGCTATATGGCCATGTTCTAGAAGCATTCTCTCCTGACATTTCCCCTGCATCTATGGCAGGATGCTTGCCATAGATGCAGGCAAAATGTCAGGAGAGAATGCTTCTAGAACATGGCCATATAGCCTGAAAAACCTACAACAACCCAATAATCTGAAGCTCAATCGGTAAAATGGTTGCTTATCGCTAAAAACTGGACCATTTTCATTTGCTATGATGGGATTAAAGTATCAGTGAAATGTCTTTCCAACCACCATTTGAGAGATTAAATGTTCTCTTTATCCCACAATACAAATAACACAATTGTTTTGAGAAGTGACTTACAATGTAACCAACACCACACCAACACCCTTGTCTTGGAGATTAACACATATTTTTGAACTAGGAAAGTCTCACAGTATCATAATCTAAATTCAAAAATGAATGATAACAGGACATCTTTGGGGTTTTCTTCCCAGATTTCTGTCCCAGCAGCAGCTATACACCAAATTAAAGCCCAATGAGGGACAGCTGCTCATATTCTTTCCTGGCTTTGTGCAAGAAACTGGAAATATTGCTCATCAGACTTATATCTGACAATTTATCCTATGCCCATCCATATCCCACTTCTCCATGTACTAGTAGTGCATGCCAACAGTGTCTATTCAGAAGTAACACCTACCGCATTCAGTAATACATACCCCTAGGCATGTCGGACATATTGCAACCTACATTCAAGTGCAAGGAAGAAGACATATAGCAGCTGAGCCTCTAGAGAACAAACAAGGAAATATTTCAAAATATATTATGCCAATGATAGTCCCATTTCTATGAAACAAAAATGTTTTGAAACAATGCCCAGTGTTCATGATCCTACCAGCAGGCCGATTGGCAATATGAAGAAGCGGATTCCATATGCATACAAAACTTGAAATAAGTTTTCCAATGGGAAACAAAATGGAGAGGCACAGTCTAGAGAAGAGAAGAAGTCTTTCCTACATTGGGCCTCATTCTTGCTCCCCGTGCTAGGTTTGGAAACAGACCGCTCACAAATCCTTCCGTCTTGCTCGATCTCTTCCCCTCCACCACTAATTCTCCATGTGCTTTACAAAAAGATGCTCTTGGCATAATATGGCAGTGTTTCCTTGTGACCTTCAGTGGAGATGCAGGCCAAGTCCCACAGCTGCAGAGTCTTCACAAAGCTGACAACAGATCCTTCAAGGGAGGCAATACTGCTGGTTCATTCTGTTTCTGAAAGCAACACACATGAACATCACAATATGTTTTACAGAAGAATTAGCCAGCAAAAAGGCCAAGGGAAAACTGAACAAAGTCACCATGACCTCAGCTGCTCTCAGATGGAAGCGGGAGCTTATGAAGAAGAGTCATGCTTTAAAATATGTGCCTGACAACAGGCAAGTTGTTAAGATGTTTCTGTCGTTACTGATGTCCCAACTACGTTTCTGACATTATCTCATTTTATAGACTTCATTTCAGCTCTTTACTCCTACTTAGCCATCCCTAATGCTTGGAACTTTCCTCCTAAGCTCTTATGTCAGGGTACTGATATCATTTCCTTCAAATTTCTCAACATTAACTATTTTCGTGAAGTTTTCAGTTCAATCTCTTTAGTATTGGCCTACTTTTAAGATAAAACATAGACGTACATAACTGTATCCTCATATTTATTCTTCCTTTTTATTTTTTGCAGCAGAATACTTTTATTATGACTCTGTAAGATGCTGGTATACATTGACTGTCATCTAGGATCAAACAGCCTTTGAACATAACCTTAACTGCATTTATATATCCCTTACATCTAACAAGAACCCCAACTCTTGTTAACTATAACATCATAATGCTAAGTTATTAAATAATAATGACTATAAAATATAAATACAGATGTATATAAAAGAATAAAAATAATTTCAGCTATTGCATTAAATCCAAAAAGTCTCTACAAGAATAAACCTCAATGGACTATGAAGAAAAAAAGTATAATAAAGCAATTAGATTCAATATACACCTTCTGCTCGTATTAAAACTATTTTGCACAAAGCTCCCTTGCCTAATTGGATTAAAGATTCCTCCTCCTCAAATTGGACCATATTCGTCCCCTTTAGGAAGGCTAGCTGAACCAGTTGTAAAAGATATGAAATTATTTACCCAAATGAACTGCTGATTGATGACTATCTGTATCACCAAGCTCTGAGCTGCCTTCTTGACCTCCAGGCTCCCAGGATTCACTGTTCTCAGAAACTTCCGAAAAAGTATCAAATGTCCCTTTTTGAATGCTGGCTGGTTCACCAGTGCTTGAGGACTGATCTTCACTGCCTGGGTCTGAAGTTGCCTTGCTTTCTTCATCAAGCCTTTCAGCAAACCACAGCTTGACCTGATCACTGGTCATTTGAGTTCTTTCACATAGACCTGGGAGATCATCCTCATAATGCACCTTGTTCTTTTGGAAATAATCCTGAAGGATCTCCCTGCCAGTCTCACTGGAGGTTGCTAGACCTTTTGGGAAGATACCATTCTTGTAGTTCTCATACCACTTCAAATTTCCATTTTTTAAGCCATAGCGACTATCCCCAAACCAGCGAATCACCTCAGTCCTTGGAAGACCTGTCTGAGAACATATTTGGTCATACTGTGCATAGGTAGGTCTCTGTGTCTGCAGAAAGAGCTGTTTAAGCAAATGCCTCTGCTCAGCGGTCTTTTTAAAGCTTAGCTTGGGTTTTTGGGAAGCAGGTAGCTTGCTAGGAGAGCTGTCATTTGGAACATCTGCATTCAAACCTGGCAGCTCACTTTTGCCATTTGACTCAGTCACCTTAAAGTTCTTAAGGTTAATTTTTATAGGGCTCACTTTGCGTTCACCTGGCATTCGAGAGCTGCTGGCTACATCCAAGGCGCCATTTTCGCTTAAAGCCCTCAAGTCATCTGATGAGTCTTCCTCTTCCACAGAATCGTCTTCACCATCATTATCTACTCCCTGCTCAGTTTTTTTGATTGCTTGTTTCTTCCGTCGCTCTGAGAACCAGCTGTCAATTTCTCTCCTTGTCATTTTGGTCTCACTTCTCAAACGGTCTACTTCTTCCTCAGAAGGAAAGTGATTCTCTGCAAAGCTGCTCTCTAAAGCTCTGAGCTGTTCAGGAGCCCTTTCTTTATATTTTGTAATGGAGAAGTCAGGAGTTTGATGCCATGACTGTCGACGGGTTGGAGGATGAACAACTGGTGTTCCTGTTGATGTAGACATTAGCTCTGTCGTTCTGGGAGAAGATGTGAAGGTAATTTCAGGTACTGAATCTATGATTATTGCATTTTCTCCAACATTCATAGCCTTGCCACCTCTTACATTTCTACAATGGTATCTCCTATCGCTAAACCATTTCCGGACATGCCTTGTAGTAAGACCAGTGAGTTTTGATAGCCTCTCAACTTCAGAATGACCAGGAAACTGGTTTCTATAGAAACTGTCTTTTAGTGTAGTTAGCTGTTCATAAGATTTCTTATTTTTATACGCATAAGGATCAAAGACTGATGCTGAAGATATACTTGGGCAAGAGCCGACTACTTTCACTGCTGATGCAGTACTAGAAACTGACACAGCAGTTGGTAGTTTAGCTGTCTGTGTCTTTGGGATGGATGTTGCTGCTATTGCAATAGATGAGGTTGATCCTTGAAATCCATTAGTTATTACTGGTTGGGTGACAAGCACACTGCTTGCTCCTTCCGGTTTTCCAACTGAATGGCCAGGCAAACTGGCTTGAATGAGATGCTGAATGTTACCAGGACTTGCAACTAGAGGTGTATTCAAGACTGTAATGGTGGACTGAGGCACAGACTGAATCACAGTGTTAAACATTTTCTTCCGTGCATCTTCTATTTCCTCAGGGGACCAACTGATACCCTGTTTCAATCTTTGAGCTGTAAACCAAATCTTCAGCTGTTCTTCTGGATACTTAGTCACAACAGTCAAATAACACAGTTCTGCTTTAGTAGGATAAGGAAATTTATGAAAAGAGTTTTTCAGAAAACTATTAGAATCCATTGCTGCATTGTATGTTGGGATGCTACTCAGAGGAATCATAACTTTGGGAAGGGATTTTGATGTGGGGAGCTGCTGGTGAATTGGTGGTTGCTGCGGCAGTTGCACAAACTGTGTGATACCTGTCTGCAAAACAGGGACATTTCCCATTACTGAACCACTGACAACATGTGTTGATTTGATGGGACTTGTTGTCGACTGACTGACAGGCACAGATTCATTGCTGGATGGCTGTTCACCACTTTTTGTTTCCAGATCCTTGGCTGGTTTAATAGACAGATTTTCTTTAAGCATATGGATTTTTTTCACTTCTGGTTTTGTTTTCATTATCTTCATAATGGGTGTTTTGGTAATGATAATTTCAGCTTGACTGTCTTGACCATTCTCAGGAAGATCCCCTAGAGGGTTTTGAGAACTGCTGGTGATGTTGACAACTCCAGTGGTTTGCTCCACAATTGTCTGATTGCCTTGCTTTACAACATTCCAGATTAAGCTGGTTTCGCCTGCATGATGCTCCACATTGTGGCAAAAAAGCTCTTTGTGGGTCTTTACGAGAAAACTGCACTGCACACACACAAAGGAAGGATCTTTACTAAAGTCTATATGCTCAGAGTCAAGGTGACCAAGAAACTGGTTGACATCTTGAGAACCAAAACTGCAATACATACATCTGTATGTATCATCTTCTAGAATACTATTATGTCCATTAGACAATGTCCCACTGTTGTGATTGCTATTAACAGGCTCACTAACAGGCACAGTGGCAACAGCAACAGATGGTTGGGTTTCTTCATGACCAGCTTCAACAGATGCCAAATCTGATTCCTGCAGGGCCAAAGTTTTTGACGGTATCATACAAGGTGTTGTGGATTTCCTTTTGCTAGCCATTATTGTGATCACATAAGATGATCTAGGCTTATGACACAAATTTTACTTTTTAAGAATATTTTGCAGGTCAAATTCCACCAAATCCATGATGCTCAGAAAAATGTGCGTCAAGAGATGGGTCAACCTCTTAAGTTTGCCATTGAATCTGAGGAGAGAAAAAATGACAACATATTAGCAAGTATTATGTATTGCATGTACAGAAGCATAGTCACATGCCCTTTACTGTTCAGTTACAACTTTAAAATGTTGGCCTTCACTGTAAGAGTCTGTGTTGTATAGCGCTTAGTGTTCAGTTCTAGAAGATTTGCTTATAGTCATCAAGCATTGTTCCATGGTTCAGCAATGCCTCAAACCTGGAGATTCAGGCTGAAGTTTACAGCTGAACCCTACACCAGCTCACAAAGTTATGGAAAACACAGAAGAGGCTATGTGCAAAATTACACGAAAACTTGTTGTACAATCAAGTGTTTGTCAAGGACAACGTCTAACAAGTCACAGACAAACACAACTGCAGAAACTGGTGGACCAGGGATAAGACATACACCAGGGTTTGTGGAGAACATAGATACACATAGGACGGGACGAGACATTTGTTTTGCTTATCCAGGCTGCAGAAATTCCATACTGGGGTAAAGAAGATATAAACTTCCAGGTCTTTTTGGACCAGAAGCCGAATTATCCCTGAGCATTAATCTAATTAGGATAGTTTATACCCCAACACATGTGCAAGGCAGCTGATTGCAGAAAATGGTTCTATTCCAATTGATGACGGTCTCAAAAGTTTTCAAAGATTATCATCATTTTGTCTTGCTTCCTTCAATTTCTTCTAACTGAAGATAAATGAGGTTCAACTAAAAAATTTCCCCATTTTGGTGTCGCTCCCCTTTCTCAGCAAGGTGCTTACAAAGCACCTCCCAAATGGCTAGGCATTTAAATGTGTGAACTTAACATGAGTTCAAGGAATGTTAAGGACTTAACCATGCATTTGCTAAATCAGAGTTATGGCTTGACTGAACATTTCTTAAGCTCATTAGCACTTCCATGAGAGCTTGATCTCAACCATTAAAAGTAATCATGACTATACTGTTTACAGAACTATCAACTGCAGGGAAAATTCAATTCTGATATAGTTAAAGCACTAAAAAAAGAAGCAGAATTCTTTAATGGCCTGACCCTATTCTCAGAAAATGTTAATATTTGCTTGGCCTTCTGGCATAAAGTTAACTTGAATTTAAGCACAGTGACAACACACCAGACAAAATGTAATCGAAGGGACTGTTTGTACATCCCCCCCCCCCCCCCAGAACAGTTACATAAGCGCACGCAGAAGCCTGGCACAGACTTGCATCTGCAACTTGAGTTGTGTACTCTGAACAGAGCAATCTTAACAGGATGTTTTTGATTACCAGCTTGTGTGGTTGCATAGTTGCAAGGGGACCAAGCCTGAGAGCAACAGCACTTGCTCTCAGTGCACAGCCTAAGATGATTTCTAAAATGCAGGCTGAATTCTTTGGGCATGAATTCAAGAAGCTAACTTTTATTGCAATAGACCACTAGTTCTTCTATTCTATTCATTTACCACATAGCACAGTGGTATGTCTGCTTTCCTTATGTCTGCTTTACCTGTGAACAATTCCCTAAACTCAAGCAGAAAGCCTCTCTATTCTTGCCGCATCACTGGGGATGTTTCAATCAAAGGATTCCAAGAATTTAACTTGGGACTCTTCAGCTTGCAAAGCATGTACCACCAATGCCTTAAGTCCTTTCTCCCATCTGAGTTACTTTGTCATTTTAGGGTCAAAGATTTTTAAAACTGGGTTGTTTTAGGTTTTTCAACAGAAAGGAGGAAACCATGAAAATGAACAAAATCTGGCTACCAGTATTAAAAAACTCTAAAATTACAACAGCAAAACAACAGAGGGAAAACAATCAGGGACATCTAATCACCTCTCAACAAAAGATTGCCCCAGGCACTGCCAGGCCATCAAATGCTAATCAAGGTGGTCAGTTGAAACATTCACACCTAGCTCCAGCAGACAAGAGTTCTTTGTCCTACCCTGGTCATTCCACAGATATATAAACCCATTTTCCTAGTTCCAATAGACCTCACAACCTCTGGGGATGCTTGCCATAGATGCAGGTGAAACGTCAGGAGAGAATGCCTCTAGAACATGGCCATATAGCCTGAAAAAATCTACCCAGGGATCAGTTCAGCAATACAGTCAAGTGGTAAAATAACAAATTTAGATTAGGGTATTACACAACACAAATTATGCAGGAATTTAGAAGAGTGACATAATCAATGCCTTGGGGAAAAAACACAGCAATACACATCTTTCTCTGTTTTGGCTGTTCTAAGCTGTTCTGTAGGATGAATTTGGATGCTACTACACAGGGAGAATTTGGAGATAGCATTCTGAAAGTCTTGCATCTTAAAATATTTTAGATATGCCCCTGACTTGCAGAAGTGATCTTGTGACTTCGTAACTTGTGAACAAGACCTAGAAAGCACAGATCAAAATCTTTTTGATTTTAGATCAAAATAGTTAAAACAAAACAATTCAATTAAAATTTGGATCAACCTCTATATGGGTGTGTATGTGTGCAGACATATATGTGCATGTACACTGGGCACACACAGGTCATGACAATCTTGCTACTGTGTGCATGAGTGTTCTAGTACTTTTCAACTAACTAGATGTTAAGTACTTTGTTTTCATGGAATTAATGAGGTAGTTCTGGTAATGCAAAACATTTGGTCAGGACAACATGAATGACCTCAATTAGAAGGTTAGCAATGTGACGTTCTCTCAAACATTGCTTAGCAAGTAAAGCTGCTAAGCCATAACAAAGTAACTACTGCTAAACTAAACTCTAAGATAGTGTAGATTTTTAAGTTCATTGAACACAGTTTCAGTTCCTTATAACTATGGTCAGTCCTCCATATTCACTGGGGTTAGGTACTCAGGATCTCCATGAAAATGAAAAAAATAATTAAAATGCTATTTTTTTTAACCTAATGGAACATATCTCTACTAATTTCTATGTTTTCCAGCACAGTCAACTTCTCCTGGAGGACTAACAGATCAAATCTGCAAAAATCAAACTCATAAATGTGGAGAACTGGCTGTAGAATACTTAAGGGATAGATTTCTAAGATAGATCAATCAAGCTCACAAACCACTAAATACCAAATCTACACTGTAAATGGTCCATTTACATTCAAAAACCCTGAAACTCTGGGATTTCTTTCCCATGGAAGCCAGAATAGCTGGAAGCATGCTAAAAAATCTTTTTATTCAGACAGGCTTTTAAAACACAATGTTTTAAAAGTATGGACTAGGGAGTGCTGCATATATACTTGTATGCTTTAAATTGTTTTATTTTTTAAGATGTGAGCTGCTTTGGGTCTAAATCTTTGGGGAGAAATAGATGGTGGTGTTGATCATGATCATGATCATGATCATCATCATCATCATCATCAATGAAGCTGAAGACTTAGGAGGAAGAGGAGGATCATAATCGCAAGGACAACTACCACAAAAGGGCAAATTCAGTGCACTCCTCAATATGAATATAGTGATGGGGTAACATAGAAGTTACTTTACTCTAAACTCAAGAATGGAAAATGGAATGTTGGTAGACAGCAAAAGAGATTTAAAAATGGGATTTAAAGCTAAGCTTAAAAACTGTGACATAGACATCGGGATCTGGGAAGCCCTGGCCCTCAAGCGTTCTAACTAGGTCAGCTGTTACCAACAGTGCTATAGATTTTGAAGAGGCACGGACAGAGGATGAAAGGGAGAAATGTGTTAAGAGGAAGGCACATCAAACCAACCCTTGTCAGGACCACCATCCATCTGGAAATTGATGTCCTCATTGCAAAAGAATATGCAGATCCAGAATAGGTATCTATCTACAGTCACTTATGGATGCAACATCAAGACTCTACACTTGGAAGCAGGCCCGTATCCAGGATTTTGTTTCGGGGGTAGCCAGGATTTTTTTTTGGGGGGGGGGTCTGAGTGAAAGAGGGTCTACCCTAGCAAACCTTTTGTATCGTTACCCCAATACCCCCATGCATATGGGATATATTGAGCATGGTGATCAGATCATGATATGAATAAACATAACAGTTTAAATAATGTACCAGTAAGGCCTTCTCCCGGAACCACCATGAGAATTTCGGGGGGGGGGGCTGAAGCCCCTCAAGCCCCCCCCCCCCCGGCTACATGCCTATTTGGAAGGCAATCATACTTGGCTGCGAGTGATAGCCTATGATGATGATGAACATAGAAACCATCTCATTTGAAGTTATATTTACTTATACTGAAACGTGCATATGAAAGAGCGCAGATGCCTTGGATGAGCAATTCCTCTTCATCTTAAAACATACCAAAAACTATGGTAAGATACAAATTACAAATAGGATTAAATTAAGAATGGGGAAATTACACACTTTTCAATTGGCATTATATGCCTGTGAATTAATCATAATGTAGCCTGGGATAGATAATTAATAGGCCTGGTTGATCAAGAAAAAATTTGGTTCTAAAATCGATTTGTAATTGGGGTGTTTTTTTGTTTCGATATTTAAAATAATTACAAAATTTTCCCCCAAAAAAGTTTCGGTATTTACGAAATTTCGTAAATATTAACGAATTGATTCGTTAAGATGGCGGACCCCCCGCGCATGCGCAAAATCACTTCCGAAGCTTCGTTATTGGCGCGGGGTCGATTCGTTAAGGTTATAACGAATCGATTCGTTAAAACGGCGGACGCGATTGCGCATGCGCAAAAGCGACTTCCGAAACTTCGTTATTAAATACGAATCGATTCGCTATTAGAATAATAACGAATCGTAGCACTTGGTGTTGGCAAAAGGAGCGCACTGGTTGGAACTACACAAATGATGAGCGAGCAGTGTATGTAGCACTTTGTGGTGGCAAAAGGAGCGCACTGGTTGGAACTACACAAATGAGCGAGCACTGTATTATAGCACTTTGTGTTGGCAAAAGGAGCGCACTGGTTGGAACTACACAAATGAGCGAGCAGTATGTAGCACTTTGTGTTGGCAAAAGGAGCGCACTGGTTGGAACTACACAAATGAGGAGCCTGTAGTATAGCACTTTCTGTTGGCAAAAG